AGCTCTCAGTCAGCTGCCTTTGCTACTGACTTCTGGATCTATGTTGTTGACTGATACATGCTTCACTGAAAACTGGCATCATTTGTGAGTTTGTCTCTATAAAGCTTCTTCCCATTTTTTATTGGATTGTTCATGCTGGTCAACCTGTCACACCTTTACATCAATATCCTTTTCTCAATTCTTTCTTTATATATATATATATATATATATATATATATAATTTTGTTAGTGTTTAGCTATGAGTTATTAATTCCTGTAAAGGTTTAGAGTTTTGTTTCTTGAAAAGCACCATTGAAATTAAAATTCATTATTATTACTTAGTATAGTGTAAATTTAAAATATAATACATTTTATATATCTTTAGTATCAGGTTTAAACTCTGCCTTTTTGACTTCTTATTTTAACCCATTTCTCTCTGGAGCTGAGAGTTTCTTCAACTCTCATCCATCCCTCATTTTAATACTTTTAATACTTTTTATTTTTATTACATTTTTTCAAATCTGTAAATTTTCTTACCTTACCTTCTTTTTAGCCTCTTACTTCTCATCATATAGGTTTATCTTATCTTCAACATTTTTGTATTGCAACATTAAATCAAAAGGGGAGTTGACAATTCCCTGGAACCTTGCCTTTGTTCTACTGCCCTAGAACTGCAAATCTGTCGCATTATCTACAGGTAATTTACCGGTTTCCAATATAAACACCAATCCTCTGGTGCCGACCTGGATAACTGGGGGGGATCCCACTCTAGATTACCGACGTCTCAGTAAAATTAAGTACCTTATGGTGGCACCTACAACCTTCCTCTCAGTGCTTAGAGCATCACATTCCAATGCGAGGTCTTTTGAATCACAGGTGGGTAAAAAAACAGAATTGCCTTTCTGCTCCCCAAAATAAAATGTATCTTTTATTTTGTATGAATATTCTTTAGTATTATACTAATTTTAGTGCATTAAAATGATTAACTTATTAATCTTTAATTTAGTTAGTTTTTTTTCTCTTAGATTACATTTATTTATTTGATTTTTTTATGGAGAAGAAGAGGACTTTGTTTGAGCTAATTTTCCAGTGTTTGATTTCTAATAATCTTTAAATCTGTTACAACCTGTTGTTTTGTAATTTAGTTTTTGAAATTTAAATTAAACTGTGCCGACAAAAGATTCATCTCACCGTCTCAAAAAGAAATGGTTCGTTTTGATCCTCCTGCTGACCATCAGGGACCTCGATGCCAGAAGTCCTCACTCCCTTAACCTTCTAACGGGGTATTGAGGCTGTAAGACTGCTTCCTCCAGGTGGTACCTGACACTTCTGACAATCGCTGTCCTCAGAAAAAAACACTCAAGGAGAATCCTGCTTTGACAACACCAGATTGTCATGGGAAAAAACGATTCATCTATTCACCCTAGTTAAATAAACGGAGATCGATGGATTTCACTCAGTCGACACATTTATTCATATCTTTGCAAAGAGAGAACATCATATAGCCCTAATGGCACAGCATTCTGCCCTGTTCTGCATGAGCAGCATTCGTTCCCCCTTACTTACAGCAACCGAAAAGTAGCCAGAGTCAAATTACAGACACTTTGGTTAAACAGTAACATGTTATGAATAAACCTTGAGAAAGAATCTGGTTTGTTATGGGAAGACAAAATGTCTGGTCTACAAAAAACTATCCTGCAGAGAATGGTGTGGCCTTCAAGGTGAAACAGACTGAGTGAAAACTTTTATAGTGAGTAAATAGGATAAATTAATATATAATAGAAGAGAAATCTAAATTTTCAGACAAAATTAAAACCTATTAAAATCAAGCCACAGAATCACTTTGATTTAAGTTACACTCAATGTTAATGCTACACCACTTGTTTTCAGTGAGTAATTCGACATCAAACTTGTAGTACAACTCCTCCAGCTGTCCCTCAAAATTAAATCCCATTAAATCCAGGCCATAGAATCACTTTGATCCAAGTTGCACTTAATTTTGCTGCTACACTATTTGTTGTCAATAAATAATTCCACATCAGACTTAGAGTACAACTTCTCCTGCTGTTCTTTACCATGTTTCTTACACATTGATGTTGAATTTCAGTATTAAATCCCGTCAAATTCAAGCCACAGAATCACCTTGATCCCAGTTGACCTCTATATTGATGCTAAAATAATTTATTTTGGTTAACAATTCCACATCAGAATGACAGTGCAGCTCCTGTAGATGTGATTCAGTTAATTCCAGATCTAATGAGGGCTTTCAAAATTAAAGCCCCTAAACTTAAAAGACTGAATCACCTGGATCTACAGTAAGTTGCGGTCATTATTGATACAATTTTTTTTCCAGTAAACAATTTCACTTCAAAATTATAGTGTAGCCCCTTGAGACATGGAATTTCAAAATTAATGCCCATCAAGTTCAAGCAACAGATTCAATTTGATACAATTTTTCCTCAATATTGATGCTACATTTTTTTTGTGAATAATTCCACTTTATTATGATAAAAGAACACCTTCAGGTATCCCTTGCAAAGTTTCTTCAAGATCTAGTGGGCAATTTCTAACTTATAGTACCTAAAAATCTATAGTGTTCCACATTGTTTGCTAAGATGCTCTGGGTGTTGCTGCTAGATTTTTAGTTTTCATTAAATATTTCCTCTTTAGAATGATTTTATAATTTATCCAGATTTTCTTCCACAAGGTTCACTAATATATGACAATATAATCACAATTACAACCCAAAATATAACTTTATGCTTGTCTTTATCAAATATGAGGGGTTAATTTGTACATTATCACACTATCTTAAAACTAAATATATACACACAAAAATAAAGTTCTTTAAGAACCAAAAACAAAGCAGCAAACCAAAATGAACATTTTTTAAATGGGTTTTGGAACTATCAAGTGATCTCTTGTGTTGTCAAGTGCCTTTGAAAGTTGGAATCATTTTGTAGGAGCCTAGTTTCAGAATAATTTATAAGAAAATTACATGTACAAGAAGGTAAAAGGTTCTCATGTGTAAGGATATGTAATATTTGCAATTGTGCCAAAGTTTTTTTTGCAAATGTGCATATTTAGGTGCTCATTAGCGAGTTTTTGGATTTTTTTTTTTAAAGGGTATGGATTCTGCTTCTGTAAGTCAGGCAACTGGAGTGGAGCCACAGTATTTTGACTTTGTTCACATTTTGCCTTATAATATTTTATTATTTATTTGCAGAGATGGGAAGTAACAAAGTACAAATACTTCGTTACTGTACTCAAGTAGATTTTTCTGATATTTTTACTTTACTTTACTACTAATTTTTATGGCGACTTTTTACTTCTACTCCTTACATTTTTACACAAATATCTGTACTTTCAACTCCTTACATTTTTAAAAATTGTCTCGTTACTTTAGTTTTGAATCATTTCAATGGAGTTACCGTTATTATTTTTCACGTCATCAATACCAAATTCAATCTAATTGGATGGGAATCTACGTTGCATTTGATGCACCACTACAAGATGAATCGACAGATTCGGCGGTATTCATTCGCGGCAAATCATTGCAGCTTGGTGGCGGTGGTGTTAGCATAGTAGCATGGACGACGAGATGATTGAAAATGAACACAACGGAGATCTAGTCCTATTGGCAGACATCCATTTAAAATGTAGGCAACGGCATGAAAAAAGAGGTTTCTACTTTTACTTTTATACTTTAAGTAAATTTACAAGCCTGTACTTTGTTACTTTTACTTGAGTAAAGAAGTTTAATCAGTACTTCCACTTTTACCAGAGTATTTTTTAACACAAGTATCTGTACTTTTACTCAAGTACGGAAAGTGAGTACTTTTGCCATCTCTGTTTATTTGTGACAGATATTTCATACTTGTAACATTTATACTTTTGAAGTAAACGGTTGGACCTAATGGTGCGCTCAGACCACACACAGTAGCCATGGTAAATGTGGTGGATCTACATTCCAATACAAACCACGTGGGGAAGGGTGGTGAAGCGGCCAGCGGTGAACTCCATGCGATGAGAAGGGTCAGTGCTTCGCCCTCACCTCGTGCTACTAGATTGAGCTGAGGTGGCGGAGTGGTGATTGGCTTTTTCATTTAAAATAGAATACAAAAAAAAAAAAGATAGAAATAAGGAATGCTCTAAAGAGGTCTTTAGGTGGCTTTAAGCATTTTTATTTAGTGTTTAATTTAGACTGACTGTTATTAATCCCTCCTTACCTCCAGCACAGAGCCCCAGATTTACAAGTTAGTCCCCCGAATCTGACTGAATCAGATGATGATTCAGTCAGATTCCAAAAAAATTCCAGCCACTAAATTAGGTGAACATGCCCACTGTTATATTCATTACAGCACAGGAATGATATGTGATGTTATGCGATAACTTTACATCAGGAAACGAGCGCAACACTAACATCTGCTGGGATGGTGATGTAATCGGCTGTAATTAAAACTTATTCTATCTAAAAAGACAAATCAACACATTTTTACCTGCACAAATGAAGAAGCATTGAAAAAGTAGCCTAGTTAATTTTGGTTCAATTTAGAGCTTAATGAGGGGATAGTTTACCTCTGGGTGACCTAAAAAAAAAAGTTTATATCTCTGAAATAAAAGCAGCAAGATATGATCCGTTTTTTTTTACAAACCTGCACTAAAGAAGCAAAAACCATTCAGTCTATTTGCTTTTTCACGTCAGTGGCGGTGTCAGCTTCATGCAACTGAAGGTCCTCCTATTTGATGATGTGTTCTAGTCTGTAAACACTGTGCATCTGAAATGCAGAGCGGTGAACTACTTGCGGGGCTCATGCAAATTACTGCATGCGGGCAGTAATTTAGAGGGAGAATCCTGTCTGTTTATTTTTTGTGTCATCAGGTGGATTGCAGAGGGGAAAAGACGAGAGTCAAGCTTATGGCTTCATTACTTAGGAAACACATTTACTATCTTATCATTCTGAGCTCTTGAAAAAGGATTGTAAAAAAAACTGTTTGTACCATTTTCTGTTTTCTTCCAGGTATAAGGTTGCAATCACCAAGCACAAGGACTCAGAACAAACCAGCAGTAGTCTTTACAGTCAAAATGATGTTTGGAGTCCGGCTGTTGACTTCAGCAAGTATATTGAAGACAATGAAAGTATTGAAGACCAAGTAAGTTTGAATATTATTTGGTTTATAATGCAAACAGGGGGCTGTTCAGTGGAGCAGTGATTAGCACTGCTGCCTTGCACCAAGAAGGTTCCGGGTTCAATTCCCAGCCCGGGTTTTTTTTCCTTCATGGATTTTGCATGTTCTCCTTCTGCATGCGTGGGTTCCCTCTGGGTAATCTGGCTTTTGTCCCACAAAAAAATAAAAAAAAAAATGTATTTTAGGTATATTGGCCTCTCTAAATTCTCCTTAGGTGTGTGTGTGAATGGTTGTGTGTCCTGTTTGTCTCTGTGTTGCCCTGCTAAGGACTGGCGACCTGTCCAGGGTGTTCCCCGCCTCTCCCCAGTAGACAACTGGAGATAGGCACCAGCACCCTTTGCGGCCATGCTTGATGATAGATGGATAATGCAAACACAAAAAGCATATGTTTTAGTTGAGAACCTGGTTTAAATGCGTTTTTTTTCTGTCTACAGGATCTTGTTGCTTGGGTGACCACAGGATTCCTTCATATCCCTCATGCTGAAGACATCCCCAACACTGTTACTGTGGGTAATGGTGGTGGAGTCATACTACGACCACATAACTACTTTGATGAGGACCCATCCATCAGTTCTACAGATTCAGTATACTTTGGCCCTGGGACTGAAGACAGCTGTGAGAGCAACAGGATGGCGTGCTTGGCTCATGAGACTTGTAGCCCCACCCTGGAGACCTTCACCTACCATGGCTTCGATGGAGTCATGAAGTTTCATGACTGAAAGTCATTTATTATTTGCTGCTGTTAAATAGGATTACAGCCATGATATTCCAGGAGATCTTACTGTGCTATGTATAGGAGTAATTGGGTGGTTACAAATTAAATAATTCAATTGATTATATTTTTTTAATTAAGTTCTATATAACCATCTGCAGTATCCCTCTGCAACATAGACTTTAAAATCAAATTTTGATGGAATTCGGAACTAGAATTCCATCTAATGAAATCTAGGGTAGACAGCGTTTTACTGTAACCTGTTTTTGTGTTCTTTGTCTTATTTTTGTAATTATGCATGTCACCATTAACACATAGTTGCCAGGGCACATCATTTCTAAAAAACAAACACTTTTCTTTTTTTTTATAATGCACTGAAAAGCCATTAAACCATTTATAGCACTACTTTAATTTTATTCTAGACATTTGTTCTGCACCCGCCCAGTCATATCTGGCCTGTGTTACTTTCAGTTATAAAATAAACTACTGGTTTATTTTATAAGAGGTAAATGTGTTGCATTGTGGTTTTTATGGTGCAAAAGGTTTTAAAGCCTTTTTTATCAGTGGACTTCCAATGAAAAATGAAATGTAATCAAATTGCCCTAGAATGTAGTATAGATTATTTTTTGTCGTATGATTCGAGTAAAGTACAGAAATTGTTTTATAAAAGTCATGCTTCATAAACCTCCTGTAGATACTTTTATACTTCTACTGTTTTAAAACAAATAGTGCAAAAGACTAAATGTGTATACACCATTACATCACACTTGCAACATATGGAGAGGAGCTGATGTTTAACATAAAAGTAATAGTTAATATCTTACAACAGAGGTCGCTGTTTGTGCTTTAGTCAGTAAGCAGTAACCAGAGAAATTGCCATGCATTTCAATTTTGAACCAATAGTTATTAGCAAGACGAGGGAAAACATTGCGGTTATGCTCCCTTTTATAAATACAAGTAGAACTGTGATTGATAAAAGAATATTGTTTTAGTCTATTTCAAACTTTTGAGAATGTCCACTTTCCTCTGTCTTCATCCTTAAAGTTTACTAAAATGCCCCAGATGGTTTTTGCCTATCTTTAAAATTTCTTTATGGTAAATGGTAAATGGTCTGTACTTATATAGTGCTTTTTCAAGTAAGGAGACTTTATCAAAGCACTTCACACTACATTCAGTCATTCACACACACACACACACTCACACACTGATGGTGGCAAGCAACATTCTTTAGAAGCTTTATTTAACAACTAACATTCTAAAAGAGTCACTTTCATATGTAAGCAGCAGCAGACTACCAACAAGATGTACAATATCAGCCATTTAAAATGGTCCTTCCCAGTCAAACACCAGCTTAATGGCAGCCAACTTCCAGCCACTGGAGTGACCCCCCTCTTGCATCTTTTTTTTTACTCTGACTCCACCCCTTCACTGAATTACAGGATCTGACTAAGAGATGACGTTTCTCTTTAGATGATAATGTCCACAAAGCATGACAGAAAGAATATTTTAGAACAAAGATTGATGAAAGGAATTGTGGATGACCAGCCAAGGGCCCATCAACGAAAGGAGGGAAATTTTGAATGATTTCTGCTGTAGATGCAAATCCCTGTAGAATGCTAAAAGATTAAAATTAAGAATATAAAATTAAAACTAACAAACAAAGGTGGCTTATAAGTAACTTAGCAGAAAAACAGAATTAAATAAGATAAATGCTGAAATGTTAATCAAAATTCTAACAGGTTATTGCTCAGGGCTGGCAGGTGTTTAGGCCTTTTTGCTTGTTTCAGTTTTCATGGGTTTTGAACTTTTTTAATACTGATAGAAGTTATATTTTCTTTTACTAAACAAGATTTTTTCTATGGTTAAGTAAATTGTGATATTTACCTCTCTAAAAGAGGTTGTACAAGTTTCTCCATAACATTAACTGCTAGAGCAGTCACAGAATAGACACATCTTAATTTCTTCATGATATGAGCAAAACATAACTGGAGAAAATCAGTTGTTGATACATTGTTGATTTTTCCAGTTTCCTCCCCAAACAAAGAAAGAGAAATAAACAAAAATCCTTAAATTATATTTTAAATGGTAAATAAGTAATCAATTTGCATTTTCTTTCATGAATTGACGTGAATTGACACAGTAAAAGAAAAAATAACTTCATACCAATACAGAAAATGTATTGACAGTTACAGAGATTGAGAGTAACAATCCACACACAATTTTCCTTCCTGCTATGAGAATATGCAGCAGTCACACAAACTTTGTAAATCCACATTAGTAAACTAAAAAATACTAAACCATACCCAAATAAACTTGTTCATGTTATGACAATCAATAATTGTTTTTTCATGTAAAAACACTTCCCTGAGAACTCCAAAGAGTAGTTTTTTTTTTTTTTTGCCTTGGCATAATATCTTAAATGAAGATACTAAATAAAGTCTCTGGGAACAATGTTACATTCCTTTCCAAAATCCTTTGATATAAGTACACTGTCTCATAGTAGCAGCAAAGGACTTCATTACAGAGACAAAGAACACCATACCTTGCTGATAAGCTACAGAATGTGCAAGTTGACTGTTTAAAATCAGTAGACCATTACTGACACTCGGTCGATAATAGCCCATTTTTCAGCATACTCAGAGAAAGTGTCAAAAGGAAATCACATAATAAGGCAATGGCCTTTGAAGATATATATACATGTTTAAGCACACATTTGTTCCCAGATGTGTGCCGCTGCTGCGCGCTCTCCCCTTTGCAAAAGGCGAATCGAAGCTTCGTTGTCCAACATTCTTTATTTCACTCCATCTATGTGACCTATGACCTGCACTCGAATCAACTGACCCGGGGAAGCCATGACGGTTTTCAACATCTTAAATGTCAAGAGAAATCAAAATAAGGCATATTACATTTAGTCTAGGCAAATTGTGATCCAGGGTTCCCAACGATTAAACGTCCATCAGGGAATACCTACCCATCATAGCAGAAAAAGGTTCTCTTTAAAGGCGCTGTCACACCTTGATGATTTAGCAAGTATGTCAAGAAATTTTGAGTATGCTCATAATGCTCAAAATTTCTATGCCAGCGTTTGGTCATATGTGGGACATAAGTTACAGCTAAGTTATGTGATCATTGAGACACATGAATGGTAAGTTACTCATAAGTAATGGTGTCTAGCTTATCTAAAACCTATGAGTAACGTGTGCATAACTTATGCATAACTTAAGAATTTATCTCCAACACATGTTGACATATGCAGGTATATTATATATGCTCCCAGAGCTTTACCTTCTTGCCCAGTCTCCGTTAATCACTTTTCTTGAGATCACAGAGGATGTAGTTCTTGCAAAGAAAATCATGGACATCAAGAAAAAAAACTGTCTGTTTTCCCTCTTCTTTTTGGGAATGGTTGGTTGAGAAGGGGAGGCCAAGGATGCAGCTACCGATGCCACTGACGATGCCCAAGGCATCCGAACCTGTATTATCCCCATCATAGGGTGAGCGTGAATGTGAGGGTGATGGATCCTCCCTGTGTTCACACCCAGGACCAATAAACTCTGTAGCAGACATGACGGTGAATCTGCTGCGACAGCCAACCTTTTCTTTTTCATTTTTCTTTCTTGCAGGTGATAAACAGCAGCTAGGTTTAGATCACTTCTAAAAAAAAGTGGACAGATAATGCCAGGAAATAATTCAGCCCCTAGCCATGCTCTTTCCAAGGATAATGAAATTTGGCACACATCTGTATGAGCCCACCACCTATAAAAAGTTTCATTGGAGCCATCATCTAAACCTCTCATGAATTCAACCATTTTAAATCAAACAGCACCTTGATGAAAATAGAATCACTATGTTAAAATATTTCTAAAAAAAATCTGACGTTTTCCCAAAAGAGCTAGAACTTTTGAAATATATTCCTTTAATTGCTCCTTGTTTGATGGTAAACATAGCATAGCTCTACTTAAAAGTCTGTCACTCTGATTTTTCAAAAGTTTATGTTAACAGGAAATTGTTGTTTTTCAAAAAGTTTTATAGCAATCCTAGCCAAATTTGAACTAGTTATTTACCCTTTGATATTAGTAAATTTTGCCAGTTTTGGCATGAATCTATGTGTATTCGAGCATTTAAGGGGCATTCCAACTACTTCAGTATATGGCGTTCAAATTGAAAGATTTTTCTTTCTTTAAACTATTTAGTGAATCATTTACAAAAATTCTAGGATATGCAGGATGTGTTCCTCGACATGTGATTTTTTTTTTCGGGGGTTTTACTGCAAACTATGGATTTTTAATGATTTTTTAAAATAGTTTTGAGTAGGGTGTAATACTGCTAACCGGATTTTGAGGGTGCTGCTTCTCCCTCATTCGAATATATAATTAGATAATAACTTGGAAAATATATTAACTTTCTCTATAATTTTAAAATTTTACAGGTATATTTGTTATAATATATATATATATTCAGGGGTTGACGTTAAGGATTCGGGCAAGTGACTTTCACATTTCATTTGCCCAGAAACAATTTTTACTTGCCCAGTATAATGTTTGATAAATATAGTTCCTAATATTCATTTTTGTATATATATCAATGAAACATGTCTGTTTTTTGAATGTTTTTTTTTGTAATTCAGTAAGTTTACAGGTTCCTGCTGTGTATATGCATGCGTCAGATAATGAACTCAAGCTTACATTAACATGCTTTTCAATCCTTCCTGCACATTCTTTTCAAACTAAACTTTGCTTTAAACTGTTGTGTGCTTGGAAAAATATAAATTGTAATGTTAAAAATCTAAAAAGAACTTAACAGGTTAAAAACTTACACTACTACTACTCACCATTTAACATGTTTAGCTCTATAACATTTAAATGCACCACTCTAAGAGAAAAAAATTTAATGAACATTTTTTTATGTAGGACCACTGTACAGAGGACTGCCATATGATAGAAATATTTACACTGTGCGTATACAATTATTATTATTTTCCTAATCCCTGAGTGATCATTTTTAATCTAGCGTGTATTATAGTATAGATTAAATTCATCATCCAGCTGCTGCTGTGTAGAAATTTCTTCCCAAGAGCTAAATCCGGGTCGTTTGGCTCCATCATCATCTTTCCACCAGTTCTCCACAGCTTCTGTGGCGCTGAATTTGTCCATATCTGGTCCTTTAAACATCAACAATAAAAATTAATAACCTTATTAATGCCAATAATAACTAATAAAATATATAAACAAGTCAATGAATCTGTTAAAAAAAAGTGTTCCAATTTTTTTAAAAACAAAATCAGTGTATCTGTGTAAACACTATTACATGTTTCAGACTTTCAGACACTCACCTTCAATAGATATGTACATCACGCCATCTAGCGTAAAATCACTCGGCTTTTTTAAATCACGGAATCAGAAACTCCTTAAGCTAGGTGAGAAAGCTGTGGCTAGCTTATGGTAATGGTGGATTTTGAACTTCCAACTCCACTGCCTGGGCTAACTTCACTTTCAGCTAGGGGAGGAGAGGGAAATGACATAATGATACATGCATTGTTATCATGATAATATATACAACATCATTTTAATGGAGCATGAGTTCTAAGGCAGAAAAAAATGTGCTTTATATTACTCATGGAACAGTTATGAATGTATTTAATAATTAACCTACACTTTATGCTGGACAAGATCAAACACACAATTATTTTCTTGTGTTTATTTGTCTGTTATTGGATAGGGCCAAGTTCCTGTCAGCAACTTCAGTCACCCCCCACCTTAACAACAAAAATCACTAATGTTTTGTATTACCTCTTTCATAACCACACTGTCTCCTTCCACGATCGACAGACCCCTCAGTAGAGTCGCTTTGGTCGGGAGAACGAGGTGAAGGGTTGGTGTCTGCTCAGTAGAGAGGTGTCTGGTAGCCTCATCAAAAGGTTCCAGGAGTTTGATGATGTCCTCGAGCAGATCGTAATCTATGTTGTTTAGATAACGCAGCTCGTTTCTGCGGAGCAGGATCTCATGCAGCTTAACTGACCTCAGAGCATCATTAACAGACTGGAGCATTGCTAGTCTGGTATTCCACCTTGTCTCGACAGCTTGCTTTAATGACTGGTCCAGCTCTTTTTGTAACCTGAAATTAAAAGAGGAGTGACAAGGTTACAGGGATTACAAATTGTAATTAGTGGGTCTTTTTGGGAAAAAAGAAAAAAAAATCATTTGATTTCATAATTAGATACAAGGCAATATTTTATGTTATCTTACCCTGCTCTTTTGAAGTGTGTGACAATAGTCTTTGTGTCCCTAAACAGTTTGATGATTCTACCGTGGACTGGGTTGTCTTCATCCAAGTGGTCAAATACATGTTTTAAGATTAAGTTGATATTATGACCAGCACAGGAGATTCTGATATAATCCTTAAAAGCTGCTGTTACGTTGGAGCCATTATCCGTCACAAAGACTGTGTCCTTTCTTAGGATGCCAAATTCCTGTTAGTTATTTTTTTACAAAGACAAAACATAAAACCTTAGTAAATAGAAGCCCAGATATAAGATCATCATAAAACAGAATGATAAATAATAATGTATTTAACAGGTGTAATTTTCCTAATTATATTACTAAAATAATTGCTTACTCATATGCTTTTTCAGCATCTTGTCATTCTCTTGTGAAATATTCTTATTGCACAATGCACTATTTTGAAGTACATGTCTTAAAGACATTTTATGAATTAACTGGCAAGTTTAATTTTATATGCCATGTAAATAAGTATTATTTTATATGCCATGTAAATAAAATCCATCTGATTTGAGAGAGATACACTATATTGCCAAAAGTATTTGCTCACCCATCCAAATTATTGGAATCAGGTGTTCCAATCACTTCCATGGCCACAGGTGTATAAATTCAAGCACCTAGGCATGCAGACTGTTTTTACAAACATTTGTGAAAGAATGGGTCGCTCTCAGGAGCTCAGTGAATTCCAGCGTGGAACTGTGATAGGATGCCACCTGTGCAACAAATCCAGTCGTGAAATTTCCTCGCTCCTAAATATTCCACAGTCAACTGTCAGCTGTATTATAAGAAAATGGAAGTGTTTGGGAACGACAGCAACTCAGCCACGAAGTGGTAGGCCACGTAAACTGACGGAGCGGGGTCAGCGGATGCTGACGCGCATAGTGCGAAGAGGTCGCCAACTTTCTGCAGAGTCAATCACTACAGACCTCCAAACTTCATGTAGCTCAAGAACAGTGCGCAGAGAGCTTCATGGAATGGGTTTCCATGGGCGAGCAGCTGCATCCAAGCCATACATCACCAAGTGCAATGCAAAGCGTCGGATGCGGTGGTGTAAAGCACGCCGCCACTGGACTCTAGAGCAGTGGAGACGCGTTCTCTGGAGTGACGAATCGCGCTTCTCCATCTGGCAATCTGATGGACGGGTCTGGGTTTGGCGGTTGCCAGGAGAACGGTACTTGTCTGACTGCATTGTGCCAAGTGTAAAGTTTGGTGGAGGGGGGATTATGGTGTGGGGTTGTTTTTCAGGAGCTGGGCTTGGCCCCTTAGTTCCAGTGAAAGGAACTCTGAATGCTTCAGCATACCAAGACATTTTGGACAATTCCATGCTCCCAACTTTGTGGGAACAGTTTGGAGCTGGCCCCTTCCTCTTCCAACATGACTGTGCACCAGTGCACAAAGCAAGGTCCATAAAGACATGGATGACAGAGTCTGGTGTGGATGAACTTGACTGGCCTGCACAGAGTCCTGACCTCAACCCGATAGAACACCTTTGGGATGAATTAGAGCGGAGACTGAGAGCCAGGCCTTCTCGTCCAACATCAGTGTGCGACCTCACAAATGCGCTTCTGGAAGAATGGTCAAAAATTCCCATAAACACACTCCTAAACCTTGTGGACAGCCTTCCCAGAAGAGTTGAAGCTGTTCTAGCTGCAAAGGGTGGACCGACGTCATATTGAACCCTATGGATTAGGAACGGGATGTCACTTAAGCTCATATGTGAGTCAAGGCAGGTGAGCAAATACTTTTGGCAATATAGTGTACCTGAAGAATTCCCTCCACAGTTCTTCTGATGTTGTCACCGGTTTTGACACCTTCCATCTCCCTTGTAGCCAAAATCCGGTTCATTAGCTTCCAATCCATAATGTAATGAACTGTGACAGTAATGTAGTGTGTGCTGGTCCTCTCCTCTGTCCAAAGGTCTGTGGCTATAGCATGGTCTGCAGTCTGCAGAAAAAGGAATTAAGTATTTTATTACATGGCCACAAATATTTAACATAATACATGCCTCACTCAGAATACCGAGAAATTGAGCAGTTAAAAAAGAAAATAAATCTAGTGTTAGGATAATTATTGATTAGACTGCTGAATGACTAAGTTTTTGTTTTACAAAATAACGCTATGTTACATACCTGACGGAGCTCTTCCATGACAAGTTACTTAACTTTGTCATACTCCTCTTCCACATGACGGGACACTGTGCGTGCACACAGCAGTATGTCTTCCACCTGTACCTCTCCATACTTGGCTCCAATATCGAACAGGTCCTGCGCAACGCTGATGAAGCCTTTCCCCTCTACTGTAGCAAACGGTGTTATATTTTGACTGCACATGCGAGCAATTTTATTGGTCAATTGAGTCTTCACATGTGATGGTACCTTACACTTGACAAACGAAGAAATGAAAGGCTGATTCTTTCCAGTATTACCCTTGCAAGTGTGTGTTTTGAGACCGCTCGTCCCGGACTCACTAGTGTACTTGATTACGGTTAAGCACGTTTTACAAGCGGCATATTGGGTGTTAACACCGTGATACTGAACTCTTGTGAAGTTCGGTAATATCTGAGACTTTCCTGTCAGCTCTGTGAGTTTTACAGATACATCCTTATTTCTCAGCTTGCGTTGCAAATCAAATTTTTCAAAGTCGTGTTCGCCACTAACTGTTGGTCCCTCCATTGTTGTTCAGAGAACTCAGCGGAAGCACTGATGGTTTTTGGGTCGTGTAGTTTTTTTGACTCGCATTATAGTGTAGGCTTCAAGGAAAAAAACTACAAAATGGCGGCGCCGTGCAAGTACTGGATTTTTTTTTCTTTCTATTTTATTTTATTATTTGGCATCGATCCTAGTTTTTTTTAGTTACTATTGGTTTGCTCCCGCTCCCGTCTGCTCCCGTTAATGTTTAATCCTGTACCGTCCCAATCACGTGATCGTTACTAATACTGACTCCCATCCCACGGGAATCCCACGGGAATCCCGTGACCCATGGGATTCCCGAAAAAATGTCAGTCTCTACCACACACACGGCTAACCTCACTGAAATATTAAGTGTGCACCCTCAATACGCCAGCAGTAAACCAGGAACAGCTTGTGTGTTTTAAGTTAATGGAGCTACTGGGCTCAGCGCGAGTGTATTGGTCCTCACAAGCACAGTATAACAGGAATGTGTGTGTGGCACGCAAAGTTAGAGAGGTTGTTTTAAGTGACGAGGTGGATTCGTCACAGTCACAATAACCATGAGATGAAATTTTCCTACCCTACAACAGGGATGTTCTTCTGGCAAACGGGTAGATAAATAAGGATCTCACCAAATTTAGTGGAAGCTGCATCTCGTTCGTTACATTTGCCATCGTCCCTCTAATTGTCTGCACCTGCGCATTGGGGGCAGAAGCCTGTTAAAAGGCAGTATTTTCAGCGCCCCAATACCATAAAGTTCTGAGAAGCTGATTGGCCATTAAATTATTAAATTTACCCAGCAATAGTACATGATTGGCAGATTCTCTGCACATGTGGGGCAGTCTAATCACAGCCCCAAGACAGAGGCGGTAGGAGTCTGTCTGTGGAAATCCACAAATTAATGACAGTAGATAGGGAAACGTAGTTTATATAATTTGTTTTGCTTATAGTTAAACACTCTAGAGAGTAAAACTGACATGAGTTAATTTCTAAAAATATATTTTACGTTTCTCTCTTCTTATCAGGGAGGGCGGTGCCCCAGCGCCCCCTATGTGCCGGCCGCCACTGATATATACACTATATTGCCAAAAGTATTTGCTCACCCATCCAAATTATTGGAATCAGGTGTTCCAATCACTTCCATGGCCACAGGTGTATAAATTCAAGCACCTAGGCATGCAGACTGTTTTTACAAACATTTGTGAAAGAATGGGTCGCTCTCAGGAGCTCAGTGAATTCCAGCGTGGAACTGTGATAGGATGCCACCTGTGCAACAAATCCAGTCGTGAAATTTCCTCGCTCCTAAATATTCCACAGTCAACTGTCAGCTGTATTATAAGAAAATGGAAGTGTTTGGGAACGACAGCAACTCAGCCACGAAGTGGTAGGCCACGTAAACTGACGGAGCGGGGTCAGCGGATGCTGACGCGCATAGTGCGAAGAGGTCGCCAACTTTCTGCAGAGTCAATCACTACAGACCTCCAAACTTCATGTGGCCTTCAGATTAGCTCAAGAACAGTGCGCAGAGAGCTTCATGGAATGGGTTTCCATGGTCGAGCAGCTGCATCCAAGCCATACATCACCAAGTGCAATGCAAAGCGTCGGATGCGGTGGTGTAAAGCACGCCGCCACTGGACTCTAGAGCAGTGGAGACGCGTTCTCTGGAGTGACGAATCGCGCTTCTCCATCTGGCAATCTGATGGACGGGTCTGGGTTTGGCGGTTGCCAGGAGAACGGTACTTGTCTGACTGCATTGTGCCAAGTGTAAAGTTTGGTGGAGGGGGGATTATGGTGTGGGGTTGTTTTTCAGGAGCTGGGCTTGGCCCCTTAGTTCCAGTGAAAGGAACTCTGAATGCTTCAGCATACCAAGACATTTTGGACAATTCCATGCTCCCAACTTTGTGGGAACAGTTTGGAGCTGGCCCCTTCCTCTTCCAACATGACTGTGCACCAGTGCACAAAGCAAGGTCCATAAAGACATGGATGACAGAGTCTGGTGTGGATGAACTTGACTGGCCTGCACAGAGTCCTGACCTCAACCCGATAGAACACCTTTGGGATGAATTAGAGCGGAGACTGAGAGCCAGGCCTTCTCGTCCAACATCAGTGTGCGACCTCACAAATGCGCTTCTGGAAGAATGGTCAAAAATTCCCATAAACACACTCCTAAACCTTGTGGACAGCCTTCCCAGAAGAGTTGAAGCTGTTCTAGCTGCAAAGGGTGGACCGACGTCATATTGAACCCTATGGATTAGGAACGGGATGTCACTTAAGCTCATATGTGAGTCAAGGCAGGTGAGCAAATACTTTTGGCAATATAGTGTATATATATATATATATATATATATATGAAGCCTATTTATGTAGTGAGATTTCTCATAAATCCTTTACACATAGAATGCGTAATTATTGAAGCCATGTATATTGGATAGAGCTAAAAAGGTACTGGATGTCTGGGATTAATGTGTTTTCTCCGCTATAATACGCATGATAAAACATTTTTATAAGAACATACTGTCTTTTAACTTCAGTTTTAAGCTTCCTGACCAAAGCTCTGGATGTCCACTGTTAGTCTAGTGGGGTAGTCTGGAACTAATTGGCTTGCCGGGAAGAAGCAAGGAGGCCTAGGTGCATGGCAGCCAATTCAAAAGGCTTTACATTAATTAAACAGTAAAGTAAGAGTGACTAGTGATGCAATATAAACTAAAGGTAAAGACCTCACTAAAGCAGGCGGTGAAGAATATAGATCTGTTGGACCACAGACTTACACTAATGGTATTTCAGGTCAGGTTTAACCTAAAGTTAAAATTTTTTATGACTGTGTAGAGACAAGAATAACATCCAAGACATAGATGCAACTGTTTCCCGAATGACTGAAGTTCCCAACAACATCATCTCACTTAATCTCTCCTACAAGGCAATAAGCACATTTGCTTTAAGCATATTTGCTCCAAATGTTGGGTCTACACATAGATGGCTGATAGCAAGCTTACATTGTCATGTGGTGAAATCACTTTAGACCCACAACCTGAGGTGGCCACAGCGTCTACCTGACGGATGAGATTCATCCCAGAGATTATCTTTTATCCCTAGTTTAACCGTTCCTGACCAAAGCTGTGCTTGTCTCCAGCTGGTCAAGAGGTGAAGTGTGGAGCTTGTTCTGCTGGCTGGGAAGGAGCAAGGGGGCAGTGGTTGCTTGGCTCCCGCGGTTGTGATAAGCTGAGCGGCACTGAGCTGCAAGGGCCGCCCAACACCACTCAGTTTTTATTTTTTTATGGCTTAAGCCCTGCAGGGCTTTAAACCTGGGTTTGATTGATGATAACCATTTTCCTGCACATATCAAGGTGCTCATTTTGAGCCTGGATTAATATTTATTTTTGATTATGGTCATGGTGGAGAATCCTGCTTTACAACAGTAGGTTGAGCCAAACATACTCAAAATGTGCAGGGTCATCTCTGGGCTCACCACTTCATTTTTCTTTCATCAGTTCACCGCAGTTCTTCCAGCAGTGCACACTTTCTCTGCTCCCACTTTCCCATCGCCCGGCTTGCCTCAGGTTCACCTACTGTATCTAAATGTAGCTTGCAACAGCAACCCAGACCAGTGTTGGGCATGTCACTTTGAAAAAGTAATTAGTTCTAGTTACTAGTTACTTCTCCCAAATAGTAACTGAGTTACTCCACAATTAAAATAACTAGTTACTAGTAAAAGCAACTATTGCGTTATTTTTGCATTTCTCTCCCCCACAACCCTCACCAACGGGCCCCACCTTCTCGCCGTATGACATAAATGACATCGGGGGGAGCGGTATCTGATGGGCTTCTAAACCCTGTCAGCAGAGATGGGAAGTAACAAAGTACAAATAATTCGTTACTGTACTCAAGTAGATTTTACTGATATTTTTACTTTACTGTACTACTTATTTTTATGACGTCTTTTTACTTCTACTCCTTACATTTTTACACAAATATCTGTACTTTCTACTCCTTACATTTTAAAAAATTGGCTCGTTACTTTAGTTTTGAATCATTTCAATGGAGTTACCGTTATTTTTCACGTCATCAATACCAAATTCAATCTAATTGGATGGGAATCTACGTTGCATTTGAATGTAGGCAACGGCTTGAAAAAAGTGGTTTCTACTTTTACTTTTATACTTTAAGTAAATTTACAAACCTGTACTTTGTTACTTTTACTTGAGTAAAGAAGTTTAATCAGTACTTCCACTTTTACCAGAGTATTTTTTTAACACAAGTATCTGTACTTTTACTGAAGTACGGAAAGTGAGTACTTTTGCCATCTCTGCCTGTCAGATAGTGTTTCCCTTGCTTAACATGGGGGAACACTATCTCATGCGGTGTAAATATCATCAGGCTGCATTACCTCTACTCATGGGTGTGAAGTTTTTTTACAGGGCGCTCAGATCTGGTCAGTGTATGAAATTAATAACTGGGGATGTCTAATTCTGAAATTCTGTGTGTTTGGGTTGTTATAGATACTGCAGCATCCATCCATCCATCCTGATTTCTCCCTTTCTCCATATAGGGTAACATTTGATCGTTCACGCTCTCCTTAGTTCCCCTGTGGCGCGAGCACAGGGTGGCTGTTACACGCCTTTAGTGAGCACGCGCGTTTCCTGTTGCTTGCGCGGTGAACGTGCCGACTGCGCTGTCTGGAGATGCAGGGGAAGCCGTATCTGATTGGGAAACGCAGCTCGACGTAACACCGGTATTTCCATCTGGAAAATGCTGTTTTGCTGCTGGAGTCCTCCTCACTCTCCATCTCTCTGTGTATGCTGTACGTTAACAACCGCCAGCGAAAACACCCACCTACCCAACTGACAGACGGAATCTTACTATACATCAGCAAATCTCATCCTCCACGCTCTCATCACAAGGCGCGCAAGTCCTATCATGAAAAAAAGGTTCATGGTGAGACCTGAGTAACGTGCAGTAACGTGGTGTCGGCAATGGTAACTGCGTTATAAAGTAATTAGTTAGATGGACGGGGGCAGGGAGCCAGCTTGGGACGGAGCGACCAAAGCCGACCCTACACTGGTGGTAAGGCAGGCGGAGGGAAGCATAACGTCATCGGATTGGGTTTGGTCGCTCTGTCCCTTTCCGCCGGGGTCCCCGGACCAGCCCCGGAGCTGATGGCTCAGTTTGAATGCCCAGTCCAGACCAGTTATGCTAGCATTACTATCAACAGCTTAGCAGCAGAATCATACTTCCAGCTTGTGGTTGTGAAATGGCCTGCTTTGTAATTCTTGTAGAAGTAAATCCAACGATAGGCTAAACTGGTGTCTTACATCTACCTCTATTCATGTTCTTGGGCCAGTGAACCAGTGGGCTGGACTGTATGTCAATTTTGGGGTGTGACAAAAGTACAGACCAGAACCACATAAGGCAACATCCCTGAATTGACATCAGTTCGGTGCTTCATTTGGATTCACACGTTTTATGGTAGAAGTTTAGAACTGTGAGATTTGTAGAGAAAGGTGTCGATGGGGTTTGAACTTCTCTGTACATCCATTTCACCCATTGAAATAGGGTCATTCATCTATGACAACTGAAACTCTGTTTTGCATTCTATGACCCCTTTAAATTAGGTTGGGTCCGGATCTGGACCACAGTCTGCTAATCCATTACCTCTGCTCTAGGTCATCAACACGCTGAGCACACTGTGCATTAGCAGACTGCAGAGGGCTGACAATAGTGTGCAACTCTTGATAAAATGAGACCATTTCTGGTCAGAGGGCAGCCATGCCTAGCAATTCAATCTCTGTCAAAGTCTTATCAACAATGTCTCGAGAAAATGGTAATAGAAAAGCTTCAGTGGCAGCTGGATTGGCCGTTTGTGCTTTTACTACCATACATTTTTAAGAACAGCTCTGTGTAAACAATTTCTACCCAACTAAACCGAATTAAGTTTTTCTACCTTTGAATTTAATAGTTATGAAAAGTAGCATGCAGATTCTCGCGGACTATGCAGTCCCAAATGTTCAGTGCCCATTGGAAAACTCCAATGCTGGCTCTCTTTTTAGGGATGAATTAATGATATTTAGAGGGATGCCACTGATCTCATTTGTAATATACTGAACATAATTCATACAGAATCCCATGTATTTATTACTACTGACAGCTGTGGTAAGGGATGGCCCATTAGAGCAATGGCTCCAAGTTTGGCAACTGTATTAAAAAGAAATTTGAATTATTCTCAGTTTCCTCTATTAGCATGAAGCAAAGGATCATTTTATACAGCACTAGACTGCTTTTCCAGATCAAGTTATACTGTTCAAAGCTTGATATTCTTTGCACCACACAACATCTCTTAAACATTTCTGGAGATTTCTGTTCAGTTTTCACCTTTATGTTTTACATCTTTAGGTTGCTTTTGAATGTTCAAATTCCCATCTCACCCCCCTTGCACTGGGGAGCTTTACCATTCTGTTAGGTTGTGCGTTATTCAGACTGAAGTTTATAAATTCAGTCACACATGAGGCGTTGTCCTTTTTAAGTGCCTGGCATAGTGCATCCAGTCTATATCCTCAAAGTCTTTTGAGCATCCTCTTTAATGACAGGTTATTCTGAACAACTAAGTTTGTAGTAGAGTGTGAGGCATGAAAAAAATCACCAGATACTTCCACAAATCCATTGCCTCCACAACCTACAGTCTATAATCAATGGTTGACATTGAACAAAGTCATTTTTTTACTCTGGGTTGGTCCTTGTCAGGGACTTGTATTCTAAAAACTTGTATTCTAAAATGTATTCTGCAAACCAGTTTTTAAGCCTTTTCAAATGAAGTCATTAATAAAAGCAAAGTCTTGATAGGATTGTTTATTTTGGAAGGGGGGAGGGACTTAAAATAAGAATTTTCTATTTTTTTGTTGGCAAAATGTTGAAATCGGTAAAAGCCAAGCAATTTTGGTCTATGTAATTCTAGTCGATCACTAAATGAAAGCAAAAATAAACATTAAAACTTGATTATGTAATGTATACTCAAAACACCAAAAGAGATCACAATGCCAAACCAAATGAGAAAATACAATTCATGTCAGACATTTGTATTGTGTGGCAGGAAAAAGAGCAACACAACACATTCCCCTAAAATATAACTACCCCTGCCCTTGATGTGTAAAAGCTGAAAATACAATGTTTTCTCCATGTGTTTAAGGTAAGACAAATACAAATTAGACAGAAGTTAAATGGAAGAAAATAAAAAGTCTGATACCGACAGTTTGACCAAAACTAAACTAATTTGGTTAACAGGTTTCATCATTCCATCTTGCATCCATGTTGCATACTAAATTAAGGTTCATTCATGTTTCTATGAACAATCAAGCAATCCCGATGCTAGGAGCAATGTACAGAGCACACAGTCTTAGTTTGTGTAGTTGAGTCACCACAGTACCGATGCAATTTGTACTTTAAGAAAAATTGTACTCTGCAATCTGAAACTTCACCATGTATATTTAGTGCTCTACCACAAGTCTAGATTTTCGGTCTTTGAAAAGCCTGGATCTTGACGGATCTTCCAGTAGGTTCCATTATGCAGCCACACCTCTCTGCCAGCCTCATCAAGTGCTTTTCTGTAAAAAAATAAAATAAAAAATAAAGTCAGTTATGTGCAATAACCTCAACAGGGCTCGATGTTAACCATTGCCCGATCTCCCGGGGCAAGTAGTTTTTATTGTTGGGAGAGTACAAATTTCATTGCATTTGCTCGCCGGGCAAGTGCAATGAACGCAAAAAAAATTATTCCTCACTCAAAATTACTTTAAAATCACTGCCATTCGCTAAAAATGACCCACAAGCATTGCCAGCACCATTTTTGTTGTTTTGTACACATTCTTGCATGATTTGAAAAAGCTGCATGATTTTCCGCTAGATGGCGTGATTTAGCTCTTGGGGAGAAAATTCTGCAGAGCAGCAGCTGGATGATGAATTTAATCTATACTATAATACACGCTAGATTTAACATGATGAGTCAGGGATTAGAAAAATAATAATTGTATGCGCACAATGTAAATATTTCTATCATATGGCAGTCTTCTGTACAGTGGTCATACATTAAAAAATTTACATAAAATTTTTTTTTCTCTTAGACATTGGAGTGGTGCATTTAAATGTTATAGAGCGAAACATGTTAATTGGTGAGTAGTAGTAGTGTAAGTTTTTAACCTGTCAAGTTTTTTTTGTTTTGATTTTTAACATTACAATTTATATTTTTCCAAGCACACAACAGTTTAAAGCAAAGTTTAGTTTTAAAAGAATGTGCAGAAAGGATTGAAAAGCATGTTAACACGGTAATGTAGGCTTGAGTTGATTATCTGACGCATGCATGTACACACCAGGAACCTGGAAACTTACTGAATTACAATAAAACATGTTTCATTGATAAATATGGTTCCTAATATTCATTTTTGTATATATATATCAAACATTATACTGGGCAAGTAAAAATTGTTTCTGGGCAAATGAAATGTAAAAAGCCACTTGCCAGAAGGGCAACGTCAACCCCTGCTGAAGCATAAAACTAAGCATAATCTAGTGTCCCAACAATGGACACTGAAGTGTGGAAGTTTTATCCTGTGTTAAAATATAGATGTGCGATATAGACTGTCCTAATATCACGCAAACATGGGATGCCAGGGAAGCCCACCAAATGTTTTCTACACATGCACAATTGACAGAATTGTATGTAAGCCTTAAAAGGAAAAAAATAACAGACTGATATTTTTTCTTCCCTAACATTAAGCCCTGGAAAGCAAGGTGGGTTCCTTTAGAGGCTCATTGTGAATACGAGTGTATTGTATTGCAGCACTTAGCAATGGAGCTGGTAGAACAATGTATTGTTAAGAGAAAAAAAAAAAGTTACATCTTTGATAACCTTAGTTAAAAAGTTTAATCCCCTCAGTAATAATATTTTTGTCCACATAATGATTATAAAATATAATTTACCTGAAGAACCTAGGGATGTGTTCCTCTCCTCTTTTAGCCATTTCCTTCCTCCTTTCTCTTTGCTTTTCCTCCACCTCGTCTTTTCTTTTATCCGCCTCTGCCAATTTCCCCTCTTCTAGGAGCCTGTTGAACAGTGAAAACAAATTAAGAGAATTCAGAGAAAACATGTATATTTAAAATATTTTGAAATAAAGGAAACCCGCTCATTACCTCTGGTCTGGCCTGAAGCGAGTATCTGTTGGGGGGAGGACATCTTTCAAGTCTGCAGTCAGTTCATTTAGTTCTCTGGCATAACGTGAGAAACCGTAGAACTGGAAGTGGTCATCGGGCTGTACATCTGGACAAAAAATAAATAAAAATTAGAACTGGAAGCAATTATCAATGGATTACAAGAACGTCCCATGTATTCATCACCCGGCACCTAAAATGGATACGGACCAGAGTCCCTAAAGGCTTGCAGTTTTGCTACGCATGGTATTGCAGTGTAATCAAAAATCCTCAATTTTGTCATTCTATATCTGACAAACAACATTTTTTCCCCATTTTTATGCTTATTTTCAAAGGAGCAATTTCCATAATTCTCAAGAAAAGTTTCAAGTTATAAATTACTATTAAGATAAATACTGATTTCCATAGATGGTATTTTCAGAGAATAGCCTTCTCAGTTTTACTTTGCCAAAATGTATTCACAGTAAAAAAAAAAAAAAGATCAAGACATTTCTGTTTTGTTCATTGACCAAGACCATGTTTGCGATGAACTGAACTTGTATACTCAAATATATTCTGTACTGATGAAAAAATGTCAAATTTTATTCTAATGAGTAGAAATAAAGAACAGATATATGTATATTTATTAAGAATATACTATTAATGATCAGAATCCCCCACAATTTTTTTTGAAAACCATGGACACATAATACATTGATTGTTAGAAGCCCTCCCTGCCTTGTGATTTTTTTTACCCAAAAATAGTCACTTTGTTTCAGCTTTTTTATTGTCAAGTCCCAGTGCTGCATCTGGTGTTTGTCACAACGCGCTATTATCAAAGTCATCTTGAAAACATTCTTCTTCCAAATGTTGGCTACATATTACGTGTTTTTTCTCTGGCCAGAAGTTCGATGGTAAATCCTCCCTCTTCAAGTTGGCGATCCAACGACCAACCCGTCCGTGGAGGATCAGGAATTCGAAAGGTGAAATAACTAATTTTATTTTTTCACTTTTACCCAATTTATTCCAACATCCAGCTGCCATGCACGTGGGCATTGTCAGTTTCACTATAGCTCTGGTGAATTTCAATAGTGAAGTCTTCTGGAAATCTTCAATACAGGTGCTGGTCATAAAATTAGAATATCATGAAAAAGTAGATTGATTTCAGTAATTCCATTTAAAAAGTGAAACTTGTATATTATATTCATACATTACATACAAACTCATATATTTCAGATGTTTATTTTGTTTAATTTTGATGATTACAAATAACAAATGAAAATCTCAAATTCATCATATCAGAAAATTAGAATATTACTGAAGACCAATAAAAACAAAGGATTTATAGAAATGTTGGCCAACTGAAAAGTATGAACATGAAAAGTATGAGCATGTACAGCACTCAGTATTTAGTTGGGCCTCCTTTGGCCTGTATTACTGCAGCAATGCGGCGTGGCATGGAGTCGATCAGTCTGTGGCACTGCTCAGGTGTTATGATAGCCCAGGTTGCTCTAATAGTGGCTTTTAGCTCTTCTGAATTGTTGGGTCTGGTGTATTGCATCTTCTTCTTCACAATACCCCATAGATTTTCTATGGGGTTAAGGTCAGGAGAGTTTGCTGGCCAATTAAGAACAGGGATACCATGGTCCTTCAACCAGGTACTGGTAGCTTTGGCACTGTGTGCAGGTGCCAAGTCCTGTTGGAAAATGAAATCTGCATCTCCAAAAAGTTGGTCAGCTGCAGGAAGCATGAAGTGCTCTAAAACTTCCTGGTATGTGGCTGCGTTGACCCTGGACCTCAGAAAACACAATGGACCAACACCAGCAGATGACATGGCACCCCAAACCATCACTGACTGTGGAAACTTTACACTGGACTTCAAGCAACGTGGATGAAGTGCCTCTCTTCTTTTCCTCCAGACTCTGGGACCTTGATTTCCAAAGGAAATGCAAAATTTACTTTGGACCACTCACCAGCAGTCCAGTCCTGTTTCTCTTTAGCCCAGGCAAGACGCTTCTGACGCTGTCTGTGGTTCAAGAGTGGCTTGACACAAGGAATGCGACAGCAGAAACCCATGTCTTTCATACGTCTGTGTGTGGTGGTTCTTGAAGCACTCACTCCAGCTGCAGTCCACTCTTTGTGAATCTCCCCCACATTTTTGAAGGGGTTTTGTTTCACATTCCTCTCCAGGGTGCGGTTATCTCTCTTGCTTGTACACTTTTTTCGACCACATCTTTTCCTTCCCTTCGCCTCTCTATTAATGTGCTTGGACACTGAGCTCTGTGAACAGCCAGCCTCTTTAGCGATGACCTTTTGTGTCTTGCCCTCCTTGTGCAAGGTGTCGATGGTCGTCTTTTGGACAACTGTCAAGTCAGCAGTCTTCCCCATGATTGTGTAGCCTATAGAACTAGACTGAAAGACCATTTAAAGGCTTTTGCAGGTGGTTTGAGTTAATTAGCTGATTAGAGTGTGGCACCAGGGGCCATCAATTTTGAACCTTTTCACAATATTCTAATTTTCTGATATGATGAATTTGAGATTTTCATTTGTTGTCATTTGTAATCATCAAAATTAAACAAAATAAACATCTGAAATATATGAGTTTGTATGTAATGTATGAATATAATATACAAGTTTCACTTTTTAAATGGAATTACTGAAATCAATCTACTTTTTCATGATATTCTAATTTTATGACCAGCACCTGTAATTGTTGTTGATTGCAGATGTGTCGAGTAGTTCCCATTGATTTTGCTTGTAAAACGGGGAGAATGGCGCTAGGCTTACCACACCGTGACGTCACTGCTAGAAGATGGCAGGAGTGAGGTACTATATTTGGGCAAAAATGGCCGCTCCTGGACTCTGATCGCAACAAAAATTATTTATAATGTTTACTGATTAATGCTGAATTCATTAAACACTGCAAACGTATTAGTTTTAGGTATAAATAATTAGCCATCGTTTATTTCTTGTTGACCGGACTTTTCCTTTAAGTAAAAACTTAATAATGCAAAACAAATTGTGCTCACTGGGCTTCCAGATGCAGGTTGGTGTAGTCATGGTATCGCAGAAGATGCCTTCATGCCAGAAGCCTCCAAAACGATGGACCACCTCTCCAGCCTTGTCCAAAACAACACCCTGAATCTCGTTCTTACTGTTCTCTGAGCTCCAATAGCGAGACTAAAAAAGAAAATCAAAACAAAAAATTTTTTTGTAACACTCAAGTCAAAAATAAATTAAAATGGAAAAATAAAATATGCATCCATGATCATATCTTGCCTTAACAAAGGTCATCTTGCAGGTGCACACGTCACTTTTTGTGTTTCTGATGACCACCTCACCATAATGCTCCAACCAGCGTTGTTGGCTCAGTACATTGTGGATGCAGGTCACTGCCTTATTCCACTCGTAGTGATCCCCATACCTACATACACAGAATTGATTTTGTTATTTTACTCAAATATTTTTATGATATCTACATGACATTCATGGTTTGGTAGTGAATGAAATCAAGATGGAAAAAAGTTAGCTAATGCCTTCTCTTCACATCGACTCAGGCTGAATCACAAACCACCCACTTATCACTAACCCTTAACCAAGAGTCACTCCCAATGAAGTCCCAGTCGCAGCTATGGAAATATTAGTGTATATTGTTGTTTGTAGTTTTATATTTTTCTTTTATGCTACTTTCATTGGGTTACATTTTTAGTAAGACTAATGTAACTACTTGTTATTCTGATTCGTATTACAAAAATGGATTTTGAGAGGCCTTTATTTTGACATCATGCTAGACAGGAAGTTGTTAGAGGATGTGTTACAGGAGTCAGTTTGAGCCTGCCTGCAGCAAAGACAGCTGCCTGTGTTACAGTTTGTTTCCATGCTTGTTCAAGCAACGTCTTTTCACAAAGTAAAGATTCAGTAAATTCACAACAAAGAATCTGCTTCTGTGGAGTTGTTGAGTATCTGTTTAGCTGCTTGGATAGCTAACTCTTAGCGAGGCCAAGACATGTATATATAGTAATATAGATTCCCAAGCTTTTACTTTGGTAGTTCACCTCTGCTTTTTGGGAAGTACATTTGCATAATAGCTAAATATTTAGCTGGCCCTTATTTTTCCTCCTAAAACACATTAAATCATAAATATTGCTCCTAATTTTTGACTGCCTAACTTTAACCCCATAGTCAGTGTTATGGCAACACAGGGACACCCTGTGTTTGTTGCTGTAGCTCTGTGGCGCAGGATGACATAAAAAAAAAACATTTGCCTCTTTCTTAGTTTTATCTGAACATGTACATTTGTTCTATTTCAAAAAGGACCTTCCTTTTTGGAATTAACTACACTCTTTCATATACCCAACTTCTGATTCTGTCAGCACAGAATTTGGAAGAACCTTATTCCTCCAACAATAGGTTGCTGTTACACCTGCTGCCAAATTCCAGCAAAGCCGCACTGATCCAGACTCACTATTTGAGGGCTGGACAGTCCACTCGCCCTACCCACTATGTGGTTTGGGATGGCACTTAATGTGGCGGACCCTCCGTTGAAATACGCAGACAGAGGGTTAGTGCTCATGGTTAGTATTCTGGGCTTGTTTGGAATTAGGCCTCAATTTGATAAACAAATACAGCCACAACACAAGGGTAAGTTTTCATGACCTCCAGGTCAGCAAAATTGTAGAGAAAACTCTACTTATGTAGGTGTGTTTGCTTTATTCTTTTATGGCAAAACCACAATGCATAAAACATGGGCCACTTGAAGCTGATTGAACATGCATGTAAGCAATAGAAGTGTGGGCTCAAATGAAGATATTACATCTGGCTATTTCTTTTTTGTATATCAGAGTGGCAGTGACTCACCTTGGCAGGGAAACGTTGACCAATCCAGTTGAGATTATCTCCACCGACTTTCCCCAAAACTTGTTTTTCCACCTCTGATCTATTAACAGACAAACCGTTAACTCTCTATGCCAGTTATATTCAGCTATAAAATAAATAATTTCCTACCTTGCCAGAAAGTAAAATTTTCTGACTCTGCATGACAGGCTGAGATGGGCGGGTGGTGGCTAACCTGCCGAGGTATATAAAACACTTTTTTCATATCTTCTTTAAATATGAATCTCATATGACTTCTTTTGATATTACCTGTTCACTGATGTAATGGAATCCCCTGTCTTCCCGGTGATTTTCATAGGTTTCTCCAAGAACAGGGTTGAACGGTTTATAGCGATTTCTCCAAGATGCCCAAGCATAACCAGAAATTGAGAATGCTGCCACATAAACCTAAAAAAGAAAAAAAAAAGAAATATCTCTTAAGAATTTTTCTACTATCCAGTATAATTATGGCCCTAGCAGTTTGTGAATCATAGAGTGCCACCCTTACCATTCTTAGATATGGGTCATCAGTGTTATTGGCAATGTCCAACAGCTCTGTATACTCTAGCTCTTCACTAAGTCTCTGCAGCAAAGACAGAGGCTCATTAAGAGCCACTGGCATAGAGACTCTGGACAGGTCCTTGCCAATGTTATTGTAAAGGATGGTCATAATGCCAATGTGACTGTTGTCTCCTCCAGGAGCAGGGAGTTTGGTGCGACGCCCTGGAATGTTGGAACACAGGAATGACAGGTATTCATTCATTGACTTTACAAAAACAGTGCTTGCTCCAAAAATGGAACAAAAAAGTAAAATAATAGTAACAATAATCCAGACATAAATCTATATAATGCTAAACAGAGAAGAAAAAGGGAAAGACTACTTCATAAAAAATTCTTACAATAAGACTTTTATTAAAAACACTTAAATAGGTCAAGAAAATATTAAACATAGCTTTCATTTAGCTCAAATGTGTATATTCTTTTGATTTATTGGGAAAAAAAATCAGCTAACCCCTCTTATTTAAGTCAACTAGCTAATGACCCAAATAGCTCCAGGTAATAAATCAGTTTTACAGATAACATAAAAAAATAAAAAATTTAAATTCATAACAGATTGCTACCTCACACAAGGAAGAAGGTAGTCCAGAAGTAAAAGTAGAAATGACTTGTCTGCATTCTTATACCAACACAAATCCATAGCCGAGATAGAAAGCATAGAAAGGTGTTGGATTATTTATGGCTAGAGATTCTGCAAATACGCATGTTCAAAACATCCAAATTTTAATACTCCTGTGAGGTTCAGTAAAATAAATTCTACAAACCGACTCCTGAGGTGAGGTTACAGCTTTTTTAAATTCTTCATTTCTTACCAGGGGTGTCAAGGGGTAATTACTTTTTTAAAGACAACTTTTTCAATTCTACTAACATTTTTTGCAATCTCTACTTTCTACTCCTTACATTTTAAAAATAAACTGGTTAATTTTGTTTCATTTACACTCATAGGATTAAAATAGTTTTTCTAGATGATGCAGTATTAGATTTATAACTAATGGCAACAGTGTCAAATTTAAGTAACTTAAATGTGGTAATTTTTAACCAGAATTGTAGAAAATGTTTCCTTACTATGGTAGTGCAGTAAAGATTATATGCTTAAATGCTACTTTTAAAATTTTACTTGATTAAAAAGCTGATAAACTTCGACGAACATGTTTTAAGACAGTAGGATTTATACTCCTAGTTGAGTCAAATATGAATACTTTTGGCCCCTCTGTTTCTTACCCTGTAGTTCATTTGGTACAAATGTCAGTATAACCAGCACAGCATTTTATAGTTACAGATGGGGGAATTTCTGCATCATCCAATAGCAGTTTAATTTACAGGAGAGCATACCTGAACATATGCTGTATACAAGTCAAGGTACTCTCCCCTGGAAGGTATTGAAGTATAGCCAATTATGTCATCAGTCATCTCTCTGTTCTGTCTGCGCCTCTTGTTGCATAACTGACATTTTTGCCATAGGCTACATTCTGTGCTTGGTTTAAAACATCCTGTTTAACAACAACTTGGGCTGAATTCTGGCCGTTTCTCAATATGTGTACTTTTGCGTTCTCATGTGCTCGTGTACTCGAAAAACATCGTTAGCCTCAGCCCTAGTACTGTTCCAGTTCACAAGAAAAGAAGACTGAGAACAGAAAAAATCCCTGAATGTTGTTCTCGCCCCTCCCTCTTTATCCCGCATGCATCAGAGCAGACCTGTCCATTCTTGAGATTGACAGCTGCCCCAGCATGCACTGCAGCTTCTTCCAGGTTAGCGCTCACAGAGCTCAGAATATTAGGTTAAAAGATCTCTTATAAAAGTACATTTTAAGATAAGTCGAGAACATACTTTTATTTGGCCCATTTACCGATTTAATGTGCAGTTTTAAAAAAGTTCAGATGTTGAGAGGACCGTGTCAACCAGCGGATCTACGAGGCTAAAAGCAGCCGTTTAGTTCGACTGCAGCCGTCCTCTCTCTGCATAGCCGCATGTGAAGTACCGCTGGCTATGATGGTGAAGTTTTTTGTTTTATTTGGCAAATGTTCATTTGTGTTTATCTGGCTGTGTTAACTATTATCCCCCCACCCGAATGGAAAAGGTAAGAATTTATTATCTAGAGACTATTAAGAGGATGCAGCTCCAGACGAGCCGAGCGTGTGGTGACGTCACAAGTACGTATCTGTTCCAATTGACCCATATTTATGCTGCGTGCTCCCTTTTACCCAGAGCTCAAGCTTTTTTGCATTCTACTCAAGAACATACTTGGCGAGGAGATGTACTTGAGGAGCGTTCTTGTGAATTGGGAAACGGCTTCCATTTTTCCATCTGTCAGAACAGTGCAAGCATGAAAATATTCTATGCTAGTCTCTTAATTCTTCACTTGAATTGTTCTGAAACGCCTGTATGGAAATTACACAGTGTCAAAAACTTTCAGGTTTAATACTGGAGATATTCATGCCAAAAACCTAACCCTTAGGGGAGAAAGACAAGACAGATGAAACTTTTCTGCTCACCTAGTTTTAACAGTTATCCTGGCTCAAATCTTTTTTTTTTTTTTTTTTTTTTTCTTAACCACATTGATTGGAAGGAAAGCAGTAGCTTTGAGCAATCAATAGTATCAGAGTAGAAGCAAGTGGTTCCTGGTGCATATATTGCCATTACCTCTGTTGTAGGTGGCAAATTGGCCAATTTCTCTATGGACCTTAGGTAAAGCCCTAGGATTATTCTTAAACCCAAAGACTTTGTAAACTCACATTTTGAAATTGGGAAGACAAACACCACATTGTGTGATGCCTACCATTTAGATTTACAAAAATGGAGAACAATTCCATGTGGAAACATTTGTCGGAATGAGAAAACCTTCCTTGGTGCTCAAATTTTCAAGGCAGGGCGTTATGAATTCTAATTTACAACATTTATCCAGTATCAGCTTCCTGCTGAGTGTTTTAATGCTAAAACCCATAATTCACAAAAAAATGAAAGACGTCTCTGTTGAGGTAGATAGAGAGCCAGCAAAGTCAGATAATATGCAGCATGACCATTTAGGATGCAGTTGCTTTGAAAATTATCCAGTATGGATACGATTTCGAACCACAAATGGAGGTGGCTAAAATTGGATATAGATACAAAGATTGAATTTAGGTCAGGTTTGCCTGTAGTGTGAGCCTTAGAGCCCCTGCTTCTTTTCCTCACAGTAACATTTTTCCCTCCATCCTTTAATACATGTTTGGATTAGAAATGGAGAGTACAAAAAAGGTTATGCTGAGATTTTACAGAAAATTTAACTTAAATCACTTCTGAAGTCACTCATTAAGTCCCGATAAGGGACAAAGAGTGTGGCATCTGTAAAGATGTCCAGGAGACCATCTGGGAGAAACAAAATGAGCCAGTCTTCCTAAAAACACACATACCCCTTTTGCTGGAGTTATGATTTTAAACTAGGTTTGTCATCCCCTTTCCTGTATTAAGGTTTTCTAAATTATGTGAGTATTATCTGAAAAGCAGCCCTGTAGTTATTTTTTTTTATATTCACTATTCATTTCAAATTCCAACAACTCTATTAGGCTTGACCAAGACATCTCTTACCAGCTAAGATATAAAGAATTTCTTAAATATAAGTGGGTGTCAACTGGTGGGGCTTTTACATTTACCCAAATCATACTGGTCAAATTTGATAAATAGCCTTGGGTCAAATAAAGAAAGTTAAAGAAATGGCACAAAGTCAATTTAAAGTTTTTCATGAATTTCATTTAATACCTTTGGCACATTTACAATTCTTACAGAATTTTGAGGACCTCAACTTATAAATCTAAGCTTAGACTATATTTTAGATAAGGCTTTGTTTTGAGGTGGGTACTCTTTAGGAAACTCCCCCAATTATACCCTTGTAACGAAGCACACAAATGCGTACAATTATTTTTTACAGCAACACTTACTTTTGGGCATTGGGGATGTTAGACCTAACCTCCAGGGTTACTTCCCCTAAAAACTATTTGGCAACACTGTACTGTCGCCAAATTAACTCGTCTCCTTCAGCATTTTAGAATACACTTTGGACAAAGTTTGACAAGTCAAGAAGTTTCTTGTAAAGACGAGGCAAAATAACCCCTCTAGATTAAATCCTACACTACATAATAAAAAAATTTTCTGATCACTTAAGTCCAAATCAATTCAATTTATTCATATAGTGCAAATCTACAACACACATCATCTCAAGGTACTTTACAGAAACAACTCAAACAGATGATACAGTCAGATTGGTTTAAAAAATTCCAAGAAATAACAAGCTCTACCGGAATCCTTTATACAAGCATGAATGAGGTGGCAGAGAGGAAAAAACTCCCTTTTAACAGGAAGAAACCTTCAGGAGAACCAGGCTCAGTGTGAGCATACTTCTTTCAAAGCCCACTCAGGGTTCAAGTGTTATGGATCATATTTTTTTTGCCAAACAGCAACTATAAGATTAGTTAGCCCCTATGTGTAAGAGGAAATCAAACCACCATAAAGCTGCACTCTGTCACATAAGTAATAAACAACTGATGGACCGTCTAACGTTACACAGGCAAGTTTTTGTGCAGAGTTCAAGTTGGATTTGGTATAAAGCCAAACTGCCATTGATTTTTCATAAAACCATAATTAGGTAAACAATGGTGTTTTCTCTGCAATATTTTCAACACTTCTAATGTATAAAACCATTTCAAAAGCTTACCAGGTTCATTTATGAATTTTTGAACCATGACACAAATTAAGTTTTATTATGCCGCTGTGTTCAATATAAATCATCGGGGCCACAGAAAAGCTCTTTACCTGTATCGGTGCGCACTAGGTTGGGCTTGTCAGTTGCACTATTTAGACTTTCTCTGTAGTTGAGAGTGGCAGTTGCTATGAAAAAACAAAAACATTGAATTAGTGTGTTGAAGATGGTAACAGCAACATCTATTTTGAAAGAAAACATGAAAAAACTTACAGTGACCTTCATCAGGCTCTGAGGTGCTGGTTGTAGTGATGTCACTCAAGCCTGACTCATCCGATGCCTCAGCCTCTGACGAGGTCTCGCATACGATCACCTCATTGGCATCAAAATATTCTGCCATAGAGTCTGCCACTGAAGGAGCACGATGACTATGACGACTTATAGACGGCGACCTCTGTAAAAAATAGCAAAAGGACAGAAATCTTATTTTCAACATTACATTTCTTCAAGTTTAATATCCCAAAGACTGACAGTCTGATGATTATTAGGATCATTCTGTAGAAGAATTTTGGAAGAGTTCCCAGAAAAACGCCAACACTTCTTCAAGTTCTTTGCTCTGAAACTGCAACCTCAATAAATTACATAATAAACCACGCTCCACAACAAAAGATAAGCAGCACCCTGCTCTAAAATTCAAATGTTGCCAGTTCCCTGAAACTTTCAGATGCGTTTGCATTACCCTAAAAACTTCAATCAAATGGCTGAACTACCTCACTTCTTATGCAGTCAAGTTTTACACAGCTGCTAATGAGCTTCTATTGGACTCCGCTGCCTGCAACTTTTAATGCCTCTGTCTTAACACACCTGTGTTCTATCAGATGAGCATACCCCGTCAGACCAGCATACCTATACCAAATACATATGCTCAAGACGTCGGATTTGCGTGGATCCCTTCAGTTTTGGACGAAAAATAAACTTTATGTCAATGGGCAAAAAAAAAAAAAAAGGATATGGCAATCTGACCTTAAAGGGAAACGCTTTTTTATTTTATTTTTTTAAAACCACATTGGGCCCTTGATTTTGTCCCATATCATGTTCTACTCACCCATATAAGTTTTGTGTTATTTGGAGCTGTTCTATAGATATTCCGTTAAGTTATATCCAAGTAACGTCGTCTTATGGGCAAAGCCTTGAAGGCACAAACTGAACTGTTCATTATTTATTCGTTATGGTACGCCAGCAATCATAACATGTAGGCGAATCACTGTCCCCCAGACATCCATGGTTATATTATTTATATCTTTTAAAAACAAAGCGGCGCGCGCATGTATGACGTCATCCGCACGCCGGACTGGAGTTGTGACAGGCAGCAGGGGCCACAGGCGGCTACGCTCCATCCTTTCCATTCATTCGGCTAGCTAATCTGAATCGTTCAATTCCATTTTGAGAGCCTTTAAATTGTTTTTTGTACTTGAATAAAGGAATAAATGCCAGTTGAGATGATTTAAAGTGTATTTTTTGTACAAAGCTAAAGAGATAAACGGGTACTGATGGGTGTATTGGTCAAGAGGTAGTCTGTTGTGTCCTTTCTTGCAATCAATTCTGCAGTTGAATCTCCAGATTAGTCTGTTGTCTAGGTAATCAGGTGTTTAATGCACTTTATGTTAATGGTGTTTGACCTGTTCTTTGGTCTCCTGAATTCAAAATTGTTCCCTACATTTAGGATAGCCGTTACCACACCATACAGCACACTGGTCAACCAACTCCCACTACTAGTCTGTAGCATCAAAATAGCCTTGCATTGCATCAGCATTACATGACCACTTTCACACTTTTTCCTCTAAAAAAGTCATTTATATGGTGAACAGAATAAAACAGGATTAGGATTTGATCTCAGGAGAAAGTGTTGCTTTAGGGATGCATGATTCCATGTATTAAAGTATGAAATCTTTCTCTGGAACAGCCATTGACAAACTTTTGGAACACTGGCATGAGAAGGAGTCACGATCAAGCACCAAATACTGTCACAAAATATAGGGGTGTTTTGGCTTTATCTTGGCAACAGGTGAGCTCATAACATTGCTTAGTATTGACAACATCAGATAGTGAAATCAACTGGTTGCCAGAACAACACTGTTGAGGCCTGGGTAAAAAACAAAAAACTGAAGTTTCAACCTTATATTTCAATATCCTGGCTGCATAGACTTAAGCTCATAGTAACACATTCTTGAGGACACAATCTGTTGTTCACACATATTGCTAATTTACCAACAATTTAATCAATACTGAAAATTCTTCTCATGCAAGTTTGCCAGACACTGAAGAAATGGCCCAGCAACCATGTTTAATTCAGTTTATTTATATAGCGCCAATTCACATCCCAAGTCATCTCAGGCATTTTACTCAGACAATTCAACCAGATCATACAGCAAGATTGGTTCAAAGTTTTCCATCTAAGGAACACCAGTTGATTGTGTCGACTCATTTACTTTACAGAAGTGTTTCACATCAAGTATGCTTGGGTAACAGTGGAGAGGAAAACTTCCTTTTAACAGGAAGAAACCTCCAGCAGAACCAGCCTTAATGTGAGCGACCATCTGCTGAAGATGATATAGAAAAAGAAGCAGAGATACAAATGGTTGCTGTCAACCAGCTTCACAGGCAGCCCTGTCCAGGAAACACACAGCTAGGTATTGGGTGAAAGAGAGCACATACAGTTAGTCACAATAAGAAAAACAGGACTACACTGAAAAACAGACCAAGCTCCAACATCTATAAACAAAGGTGTTAATGGCAGCAGCACAGCTCTGGGATGTTCCAGTTAACAATACTGGATTGTAAATATTATGGGTTTGCCTTTGTTAAGATTTGAAATCCCTCAAATGTGTTCCTCAGAAATCTTACACCGTCTATCATAAAATCGATTTGAATCGAGGTTCACAGAAGGAAACCGTCAGCAGAGTTAAATTGGATCCATCACCCTCACCTTCACAGTCATCATCATATGGTGACTGTGAAGGTGAGGGTGATGAATCCTCCCTGAATTCACGCCCAACAAACTTCCTAGCAGACATGACACTGAATCTGCTGCAACTGCAAATCTTTATTTTTTTCTTTTGGCAAGTGGTAAACAGCAGCTAGGTTAAATCCAGGATTGAAGAAATCTTTTTATGCAGGCCGGGCGCCTCTGGGCACATTGCTGCCCATCTCAGGACACTGGCTTGTGACATTTCATGGGCATTTAGTTGCCATGCGTTATGCATAAGATGGACTGTCATTTTAATTCAATTCAATTCAGTTTATTTATATAGTGCAAAATTCACAACACATGTCATCTCAAGGCACTTTACAGTTCAACCAGATCATACAGTCAAATTGATACAAAGTTTTCTACCTAAGGAAAACCAGTTGATTGCATTGACTCAAATACAATCCCTCACACTAAGCATGCTTGTAGCGACAGTGGAGAGGAAAAACTCCCTTTTAACAGGAAGAAACCTCCAGCAGAACCAGGCTCAGTGTGAGCGGCCATCTGCTGAGGCCGACTGGGGTTCAAGGAGACGGAAGCAGAGACAGATTTCACACGAGTTCTGTAATTGTTATGAATACTCTATGTATACAATCAATTTGGCTGTTGCTATGGTGCGGAAGCTGCACAAGGCTCCACGCCCCTCACTTAATTCTGCTCAGCTCCATACACACAGAAAGCTAAGAGTGTTTGGACCAACATTAACATTGATTTATCCGTGTACCCAGACAACAGAAGAAAGGTGAGACAATATTCTGGAGCTTAGACAGAAGGACAGGAGAAGACAGCTGAGGATCAGCAAAGCCTGCTGGGCCAACACCAGGCAGACCAGGGGACAGAAGGCAACAGTTGGCTGGTGTCTTCTCTGGAGGTTACAGGAGGAAAGTCTTTCAAGGGCTAGATTAAAACAACTTTGTAAAAGCCACCTAAAAATCTTCTAATAGCATTCCCACTGACTCCTCCATTAACATAATTTTCAGTATTGATTAAAAAGAGCTTCTCCCAATTGCCTCCTTTAGTGAAACGAACGTAAACAAAAGTTCAGATTTTCATCTCATGCAATTTTTGCTTCTCTTTGTTTGCGGTCACAAATGCGATCAAATTTCACTAACTTCACCAGAATCGTGCCATCCACCTGACTAATCTTCACTCCAGAGCCACTTTTACATAAATTTCGCAGCTAGAGCAAAAAATTCTCCTGCTATCTCTGAGTTTGGTGTGAACCACCCAAATTGTTCTGGTTTTATAGATACCTAAACACAGCTCTGTGTGGAGTTGACAACTGAAATGCTGTCCAATCTCAAAAAATACATTTTTATTTCATAATTAAGAAATTCGTTTTTATTATGCCTGCGAAATGGGTATAGTATTTTATCCCAAGTGGTCTTAAAAAGTATTGCATTTAACTTTTGGAAACTTGTAGGAACCCTGGATAAGGACCATGATCATTCAGGAGAGGCTCTGTGTAGAGCTGCTGCTCAACATCGACAGGAATCAGCTGATGCTGCTCAGACATCGTTTTCTGATGCCCGCTGGATGCCTCCCTTAGGGGGTGTTCCAGGAATGTCCCACTGCAAGGACGCCTACAGGACGACCCAGGACACATTGGAGGGACCGTCTATTTGAGTGCTTCAGGCTTTTCCAAGAGGAGCTGGTGGAGGTGCCCCTGTGACACCTTCCCTATTGGACACCTTTTTGACTTCAGCGTGAATGCAGCATTTTGAAAATCAAGGCTCCCTTTAGGAGCACACAAACATTCTTGGCTCATTATTAGAGCCACTCTGCAGTCGTCTGTACCCCCTTTTCTTATTTCATTCATTGTTGAAGCATGAACGATTCATACTGGTGACCCATTAGAAAAATCAAAAGAGGGAATTTCACCAAAAGCAGGGGGATGTTCATGTAGAATGCCATTGCATTTCTAGTGTGGACTGTATTACTTTTTTTTTATGAACCCAATTTTCGTTTCAAGCTGTTCTTTCTTATGATTTATTCCAGGAATCTTCTTTGACACCAATTCCTCTTATTGCATCTTTAACACCCAAAGTAAAATTTGAAAGAACTTTTAAAATGTGTCATATGCCTCCTGATGAATTCTGTTGTGTTGCTTCTTTAAAATTGTATTGGAAAAAAAAGCCAATATTGATCAATCTACGCATCTACAACGATGATTGGGAGACAAAGCGACAAGGATGAAACTGATAATTGCTCCTCAAGATAAAATCCTCAATTATCCGGCATTATTCTACTTTTAAAATGTTCTGTTATTATAATTCTACTTTAGAAAAATGCTTTCTTTGACAATGCCAAACTCAAAGTAAGCATTTGTTTGAAACTTTGAAACTGTTTGAAACAAAAAATATCTCAAAATATTTTGTTTCAAGACAGCAAAATAAAAAGGGCTTGCCAGTCTTATTCAAATCCATTTTGAGTATTGCATCAGTATTTTTACTTGTTTAAAGAAGGTCACCATCAGACTGCAAGGTTTTATACAGGACAAGAGAGACTAAATCACTACAAGATACCAGTGGTTCCAGACTCACTGAAAAACCCACACTCCACAGTTTTTGAATTAAGTGGCTCAGAGGGTCTAAAACTGCCATTTATTTCTTGAGCTTCACAATTGCTACTTTCTTGGCAAAAACACCTAAAGATATATTTAAATGGAATTTTATCCGTTGTTTTTCGCTTCATTTATTTGATCTTGGTGACACACCTTGTGATCATCTGAGAAAAATACTGTACTCGTTTACCCAGATATGCTTGTTATAGGACTTCAGTGCCTCTGCAATCTTCCTTCAGACTCTGTAACCATGGTTTAATAATAAATAGCAAAGCTAACTTGAATGTAAGCAACAGTGCAATTTTTTTTTTTATTTTATTTTTTTTTTCCATAGCCCAGTGTGGCATTTCTAATGCCTTGGGTTAAAGACTGGCTACTATGCTCTTTTCATCCCCTGAACTTTCTATGAATATGTTTGGATATGGTACCTAACACCCAGCCTCTTTGGCAACGTCCCTTTTGGGCTTACCTTTCCAGAGAAAGTGTCAATTACCATCTTCTGGACATAAGTCAGTGGTCTTTCCTACAATTGAGTTGACTTCTGACTCGGAATGAGAGACCATGTAGAGCAGGGATGGGCAATTCCAGTTCATGAGGGCCGGTATCCTGCGACTTTTAGATGTGCCTTTGGTTCAACACACCTGAATCAAGTAATTGATTGATGATTGAGAGGACTCTGGAGGAACTGACTGCATGCTGAGGAGGTAACTCAGCCATTTGATTCAGGTGTGTTGGACCAAGGATGGATCTAAAAGTTGCAAGATACTGGCCCCCAGGAAATGGAATTGCCCACCCCTGATGTAGGGGTTTAGGAAACATCTATTCAGTATGGAGCCACACCCTCTGAAATAATTAGAAATCATTGAACCTTTTTTTTTAGAATGTTTAAATTTTTGAGAGGCACCTTTAAAATTACCCATCTTCTATAATCAATCTTGTAAGGCAAGGTAGGAAGAAGAGTGTAGGGACCACAAAAAATGTAAATGTTAATTCAGCAGAATGTATACAGCAACATCTCTTTAGAAGGACACACAGCAAATAAATTTCCCATTAAAGACTTGGATGAATTGGATAGAAGCATGGCAAAAAGATCGATCAAGTAAAGTACACACCTGATCTGTACAGACAGTACAGAAGGATTCATCAGTAGAGCCAGAGGACAGGGAAACCGAATGGACTTTGGTCAGATGGGACTGCACATCAAGCTGCACATGCATATACAGAGAGACACGGAGGAATAGCAGCAAAGCCATGCAGAAAATAGCGTAGGAAACAGGAAAAACAAGGAATAGTAGAATCCACTGCACCCTCTTTGCAGTGAATGTTTATGCATTTAGCAGATGCCTTTTGTAGGCACTCATTTGAAAATTAGTTATACCAAACAGTTCCTGGAAGAGGACATTACAACCTTTAACTTAAAAGATCTTAAAAAGCAAAGCATGGAAACATTTTAGCCAGGTTCTATTTATTTTTTAGAATCTAATCTGGACTTAAAAACAAACTTAACTCACAAGTTGTAATACATCTTGGTGTTAAAGAGGACATGCTCTCATTGTTAAATTTAGATTTTAAAACCTGGCAATGGACAGTTTTCTGTGTCCAAATGTGAAGAAAAAAAATTTATTGTAACTGAAATAATGAACTCCCAATTAATATATAGATGATAGTCACTTTCAAGGCAGACCGTACAAGCAACTGAGAATTAAATGGTTTTAACATGCAGCAGCATGTACATTTAAATACAAAGACATTCAGTTTCAGTGTGTCACAGCCATATCTGTTCAAGGAAGGGAAAGACAAGAATACTGACAAAGAGAGGAACTCAAGGAGTGTTCCTAACTAGAAACAGCACAAACCTGTTGAGCAGTTTCACACAGAACCTCCTAGAAACAAGGAAGGCTTGGCTTCCTTTGTATCTTTAGGCCGATACTAATGAAATGTCTGCTAGTAAGCAGTAGAATCTTAAAAACTTAATCCTGGTGAAAAACATGGTGGTGGGGCTTTAGAGGTCTTCTTTCCATGTTTGACAATGAATTTGCTTTTACCTGCAGCTAAGTGAGAACAACTTCCCATTTCTAGTGAGGACTGTTTGGGTGAGGGGTTAGGTTTAATATTGAATGCTATGAATTAGATGTACACAAGTACTGGTAATAGTAAGGTGTGGATTTAAGCCAAAGGCAGGGTTGAAGATGAATGCCATTGGGAGATAAGGCAATTAGTAAGTATTCAAAGCACGAATGAATGCATGTGTTAGAACCTTACCTCAGAAAGTGTGGTGCACAGTGTTGCCAGCTGCTGTGATGCATTCTGCCTCAGGTCAGGGCTAGCCCAAGCCTGTCTCAGTCTCTCCCTTTCCATGGTCAATACCTCATGAATGGAGGTCAGAGAAGCATGCACTAGAAGAAATCATTTGCAAGAGCTCACCACTGCAGCCTAACATAAGTCTATTTTGATAAATAATGCAAATACAGTCAAATTTGTATAGGAGTATGCCATAAATTTTAAAAACTGCAGCAAAGTCATATTACCAAAAAGCTACCATTTGGTAAAAGGCCTTACCCCTCTGAGAAAGAACACAAATGTCTTGGTGTAGCTTTTTAGCCTCCGGTGAGGTTACTTGAGGGTTTGAGAGCTGCGTATAAACATAGTCTGGTATGGACTGAACAGACGCAGCCATATTGGAACCGTTGTTTGTACTCAGGTGACTTGATGTGAACTAGAGATGGAAAGACAGACGGCATTAAACTGAAAATGGAGAATAAGTGTAAGCATTGGTGCACTTAACTTTTTTAGTACAATGTAGTTCTGAACAAAATTGTCAGTCGTCTCCCTTTTTACAGACACAATCTTGGCTATTAGTTACAGAAACCGTCTGCTGCCATGCTGTAAATGGTCCAGTTTGTTTTAGACTAGAGATTATTAGGCCTTGTCAGAATGGCTTATGCCTCGGTGGAACCCAGTCTGGCTGGCAAGGCTATCCCCAAGTGATAACACCAATTTGATCAAACTGAACAATGACTGTATTAGCGAGATGGTGCAGGACCAAGTAATTGCTAGCAGCTTAAACATTTATTAAGTTTTTGCCTTCACAAGCAAGACCAGTTTTTAAACCATGTACAAGTGTTTTGTACTTGGTAAAGAAGTTCACAGAAATTCTTTTTTTTTTTTTTTTTTATCGGTTAGGCATTTTCCAGTGTCCATATTGAATATATTCAGAACATAACGAGTGGAGAAATAGCATACATAATTAAACAAAAAAAGGTCTTACCATTCCACCCATGGCCTCAACACGAGACAAAGTCCTTGAGTGACCCACCTTCCCGGACTTCTTCTTGGGTTTCTCCAAGAAAAGATTCTTAGAACAAAACAATATACTAACGATTATTAATCAAGTATATTGTGAAGTATAAAACAATTGTTCACCATAAAACTAAAGGTTCCCAAGTGTAGAGTTTTCTTTTGTCACAGTAAATATTTTATATGGAGAACAAAAGCAAAAGAATAAGTTGGTCACCTTTTTATTATATGATTAAACAACAGTATGTACTCAGTTGGCCTTCTTATCAGTAAAGGATAAAATCAAAGCAATATATCTCCATTACACAACATTTGATTAGCTGGGATCAGGGTTCTTGCCTGCATGCTGATGCGCATCTCAAGGTCAGTGTTAGTGAGCGGGATTCCTCCTTCAAGCCAGTGGAGTCTCTGTATGAGCTGAACCAGTTCTGTCAGTTCTGCTTGACTCCGAGCCAGGTCTGGTTATCAGTAGGAAAAGTTTGAAATGTAAGGGAACAAGTAACCAGTATGGCAATGCTGGCTTTTAATAAGGTAGGCTATACCAAACACGTGGAAATATGTTGTCCATTTAGTTTGGACTAATAAAGATCAGAAATATATGCGTCACCATTAGAAGTTGCATCAATGTTGTGGGTCTGCTGGAGCCAAGCAGACACCTTGTTGTTGACCCCCGAGTAAGAGGACATGGGAGCAGCGTTCATCTCTGGACCGGCTACAGATGCTGAGCTGGCGTAGTGAGGCAGCTAGAAAACCATATATAAGGAGAAAAAGAAAAGAAAAAAAATAAATAAAATAAAAAGACAGACCAGATACAATAAGACCTTATATGAGGACTAGACAGAAAAGAGAATACATTTCCACAATTTAAAATTTTAATATTATGATAAAAAAAAATTGATTCAAATGTTCTATAATTTTCACTTCTTTAAAAAAAAAATAAATAAATAAAGTAGAATATATATATATATATATATATATATATATATATATATATATATATATATAGTTACTTCTCCCAAAAAGTAACTGAAAAAAAGTGGGTGGGAACGCTGTCTGATGTGGTGTAAATATCAGACTGCATTACCTCTACTCATGGGTGTAAAGTTTTTTTAACATGGCGTTCAGATCTAGTGAGTGTATGAAATTAATAACTGGGAATGTCTAATTCTGAAATCCTGTGTGTTTGGGTTGTTATAGATACTGCAACATTCATCTATCCATCCATATTTCTCCCTTTCTCCAAATAGGCTAACATTTGATCGTTCTCGCTCTCCTTAGTTCCCCTGTGGCACGAGCACAGGGTGGCTGTTACACGCCTTTAGCGAGCATGCGCGTTTGAATTGTGCTGCCTGCGTCCGGAGATGCAGCGGAAACCATATCTGATGGGGAAACGCAGCTCGACGTAACACCGGTATTTCCATCTGGAAAACGCTGTTTTGCTGCTGGAGTCCTCCTCACTCTCCATCTCTCTGTGTGTGCTGTACGTTAACAACCGCCAGCAGAAACACCCACCAACCCAACTGACAGACGGAATCTCACTATACATCAGCCAATCTCATCCTCCCCTCTCTCATGACAAGGCGCGCACGAGTCCTATCATGAAAAAAAGGTTAATTGTGCGACCTGAGTAACGTGCAGTAACGGGGTGTCGGCAATGGTAACTGCATTATAGTTACAGTCAAGTAATTAGTTAGATTACTTGTTACTAAAAAAAAAAAAAAAAAAAAAAAAAAAAAAAAAAGTGTAACAGTGTTACTTTCAACGCCATTACTGATAGTAGCAGCCATTCACAGTATGGCCTTTCCCAGTCAAACGCAAGCCTATTCCCCTGCGACTGCTAGCAAAATCCCCTCCAACTTCCACTCACTGGCCTTCTGGGCGTGCATATTTTTTACTCCGACTCCATCCTTTAACTGATTCACAGGGTCTGACAAGGAGATGACGCTTGTCTTTACATCTTAATGTCCACAAATCATGACAAATATTTTAGGACAAATATTGATTTTTAAAAAGGAATTGTAGGGGACCAGCCAAGGGCCCATCAATGAAAGTGGGCTAATTTCAAATGGCTACTACTGCAGAAGTACATCTTTTTAGTAATATATTAAGTCATTCACCTCCTACACAAACGAACATTTAATCACAACAAAATTACCACAAAAAATGATTTAAACTCACAGTCGATTGGTGTTGGTGGGTCATATTGGCCATAATGGGCAGTGAACTCTGGTTCATTGAAAGAGCATGAAGAACACCTCGATGGACACTCATTGCTTCCTGTTTTCTAAAAACACGGTGGGCAGCCAGCTTTGTCAGCCAAATGTAGAAGAGATCACTGCTCTTCGCCTAACAGAAAAAAAAAAAAAAAAAAAAAAAAAAAAGAAAAAAAAAAGTGAGACAAATGATTAATGCCAAATAATCTTAGGAACATAAATCTAGGTTAAAATTTAAGCATCCTAATGTTTTAAACTGTCTCATTCATTACAGTTTAAATACCTTAAGATGGTAAAGGTTGTCTCCACCATCGAGATCTATTCGTTTGGCCTTTTTGTTCACCGACATAACAGCCATGCTGACATCCAGGGAACCGTGGAGTTTTCCTTTCAGAATCTTAAACACAAGAACAGTTTTACTCATCTCTTCAACCATGTTGAAAAATAAACTTTTTTTCTTTTGGATCCTCAGAACATCTTTAACTCACATCTTGTTGAGTCTTTGCATATTTGAGAATACCCTTCTCCAAAAGGAAGTACCTCTAAGGGAGAGAAAAGAGGCAATAGAAAACCCCAGGAAGCGAGTTATTTCAGCAAACATTTTGTTCAAACACGTCACAAGTTTTAGACAATTATCCTAAAAATCAGGTTGTTTTATCGACAAAATGTCTGTATGAAACTTTTCTAAATACAACCAAGCAAGATACTAGTTATAAAATAAATACAATTCCAATACTTTGTTGTATTTTGAGAGAAGAAAAAAAAAATTCATACATACCCATTTTGTTGATAGACCTTAACATTTTTAATGGATATGACCCTAAAGAGCCAAAAAGATGTTATTTATACTCAACTCACCTTGTGCCATCCCTTTAGTGGGTACTTCCTTCTCTTCATGAGATAACCCTCACAGATCCCAGGAATACTGAGGTCCATAGAGGAACCAGGGGCAGAGTAGCCATCATCCATGATCTCCCAGTTACGAGACTGACAAAATCAAATGCATGAATAAATATTTTGAATAGTAATTGACAAAGCCCCTGGGCATTTTAAACTGATCGGGTAGCTTTAAATGTAAGAAAGATGTATGCAAGTAATTCTTAATACACTTTGCAGTTACAGGAAAAGCAAAGTATATTCTTCCTGGTTTAAAAAAAAACAAAACAAAAAAAACAAAAACAAGAACTTTTCTAATCAATTGTTCTGAAGGTTAATTGTACTAGCCCATCAATCTGAGAAAGGCTATGGAGGCTAAGGATGATGGACAAAGAAAATAGTTGGTTTGAGAAGGGTGTGAAAGAAGCCATTGATGTTAAGAAAAAGAATGTTAAGAAAAAATAAATAAACAGAGGGGGTGGACTCAGATTTCAGCTTTCAAAAACCTACAATGCAGCGATAGAGATGATTCCTTCCCGCTATCATCACAATACCCTTTACAGGGAAGAGAAGAAATCGCCTTTTCAGCCAGGCCAACAATTCCATTTAATTTCAGAGACCGGTATGGGGCATTGCAGGCCAACAAAGGAAACCAAATGACCCCCATTCCAAAAAGGTGGACCCGTTTGAAACAAAAAGACTGTTTGGCTTCTGTATAAAGCGTCAAACTAACGCCATTTCTGACATTTGAATTGAAACAGCTTCCTAGGTGAGAAGCAAAACGTCTTCAAACTTGGAAACAAAGTCCAGTGGATTGTTGTTTTTTTAAACTTTTTTGGAAGGCTATGGAGGTCATTTTCAAGCACATTGAATTGTCATTCTAGTATCAGGTAAGGCCGTTTATTTGCTAGACTAAAAGCAAGAATGCAACTCATCTTTTCAGAGATGATTATAGGAAATTTACCAGAAGCTCTCGCTGTGCAAAACAGAGACACTGCAAAAAACAAACACCATATCATAGGTAAAAAACAAAGTAAATAAAAAAATAGGTAAAAAAATAGACTCAAGAAAGCATAATTTTAGCTTGTTTTCAACAGCCGTAGAGAGAATAGCATTTTTTCCCTTAAAAATATGGTATCTGGACAAATATATACATCAACATTAAGTCTTTAGAAAAAACAAAAACCATTTGGAAAGACAGAAAACATCTGTAAACAAAAAGTACTGGAAAACAACGTCTCGTGACAACAGTATTAAAAAAAAACTATGACAGTATTGTCCCATTTATTGTCCCAAACTGTTGCATCCAAGTAAAAAAAAAAAAAAAATTTATCTTATTGGAAAATTTTATTGAGTTAGATTTTTTTTTTTCTCAGCTGCTGCAATTACACAGTGTTGTGCATTTCCCTCACCTGTTTTGAATACTTGGATGAACCCGTGCTGTTATTCCGAGAGTGAGTTGGTTTGAAAGTACTGGCAGGGGATTTGTCAGCGAAGCTAATGACAGACTGACTGCTGCCCGCCTGAGGGTCCATCAGGGTGATTTGATGAAGACGGTTTTGCAGAGACAGAAAGTCTTTGGAGCTATCTGCGTTTCATGGAAGTCTGATTAAAAGAAAACAAAAGTAGTGTTTGATCAATTTAATAAAGAAAAATATGATTGATAACAGGATGCAGTGTAATCTTTGTGTCGGAAAAAAGTAGTTTGATTACAAATTCAACAAAAGATTCTCAATTTCAATGACACTAACATGGAAAGTTATTACCGTAACTAAAAGCAAAGTGAACAGGAGCCCAAGCTCACGTTGAAGTTTTATGATGTGACAAGTAAATATTCAGCTCAATTTTATATTGCTAAGGCTTTTAATGTGTATTTCATAAATGCTTAGAATGCTCTGCCAATGAACTTAAAAGAAATTGAGGGAATTCTTATTTTCTGTATAATTATCATTAACTTGTGAAAAAGCTTTTATGTTTTATTGAGATTAATAAAAAAAAAAAAAAACATTACTTTAGGAAACAAAAGGCATCGTACCTATTTTGATCAGAATAGTGTGTGACTGGTTAGAGCAATAAGTGACAAAAATAAACTAAAAAAATTTAGATTTTTAAATAAACTGATATGTTTCCATTTAGAAAACTACTATCAGTAAATGGAATATTTTCATTTTTTTGGCAGAAATCACCAAGAGCTGAAAGGGTGTTTCATGGGGCCATCTATATTACGAAGCAATGTTTAACTCAACATAAACTTGACTTTTTTTTTTATTAACTACAGTAATTGTCTGTCTTACTTTGGTTTAGAGGTTTAATTAGTGATCATAACCAGTATTAGTAAGCAAAAGTGGGCCTACTCACCCAGTACCCAGTCAATATAGTTAAATTGTTGTTCACCAATTCAGAATCAAATCAGGTATTTTCAGTTAGGTAATCATAGTTAAGACCAGCCCTGTTGGCCCTGTTGCTTTCTTGTTTTCATAAGGGAAGGGAGAGGAGGAGAGACAAGGAAAAAAAAACTTCATATAAAAAAAGATTACACAACAAGCGATACATTACAATAACCTTATCTATAAATTAATCTTCAAAGTTTATAAGACGGCAGATGTAGAGAGTTCAGCTAGCCAAAAGTCTAATTACAAATTAAACTCACCTGTGATTAGCAAGATAATTTACAAGCTTAACTTCTTTGGTTCACAGTAAATCCCTCCTGTTGAATTCCTTCAAATTTTCCTGAGAACAAAAACAATACAAAATAAAAAAAAAACATGTAGAGTAGAATCCTATGAAATATTATGAAAGGGAATTAGCAGAGCAAAGAACTACCATCTTCTTCTATGTTACAAAAAGCACTACCTCACCTGAGAGAAAACCTGCTTGTCAGAGTGGTTTAGATCAGCGAGCAAGTATCTGGGTGGAGCCAGTTGTTGGAGAAAAAAAAAAAACAACCTCCCCAGACAGGATCATCAACTATGTTGCAACAAGAATGAAAAGCTATGAAACAGAGCTTTTATCAGATGATAGACCTCAAAAAACCAGCTGGGGTTAAAAGCTGTGATGTTCCAGCAGCACACAAGCTAGCAATGTTTCCGCGTCAGCATTTTGTTATGTTGAAAATATGTCATAACAATCACTATGTGATGCCATGATGTACAGGAAAAATTTGGTCACACAAAAAACTTAACTGCCTATTTCTAAAGGAAGGCTTTTCTCAGTCTGAATGTAGAGGAGATATCACAAATAAACCCATTTGGCTTTCTGAATTTTCTGTCTCAGAACAGGTGATATCAATTAGGTAACTCAACTATGAGTCAAGTTATGCAAGAGTTAAGTGTGAGAGCAAGGATTTCAAAAGTCCTCCTCAATTGAAAGCAGAGAACATGATTAAACTTGGCAAAGGAAAAAAAAGAGGCATAGAAGTTTGCATTTCTCATCAGTGGAAGTAAACGTATTTATGACATCATATGGACATTTTAAAATAAATTTAACCTAAAGACAAAGAAACAAAAAACAGGATTATTGCAAAAATGGTAGGCCGTTTCCACCCGTCCCTTAAAATAAGGGATGGTCCTTTATTTTTGCAGTAAAACAATTTCTCCCATATTTATCCAGTAGGAGATATTCCACACTTGCTATTCCTCCATTTCCTCAGAAGGAAACTCTTTCAAAAATACAGACATTAATGGTAAGCAACAAACCTTTGACTGAACATAGTCAGTAGGGGTGAGGAAAACATTTGAAATATGTTGGGATGTGGGCAAGTGTTTACATTGACACACAGCAAACCATTCAGGATTCAGGACAACAGACCCATAAGAAAGCTGAATCCCCAGCATCAGCCTTTCATATCCTGAGCATCTCCTGAGACTTATATGATGCAGAATATTATATATTACTGTTGATTGTATATACTGAGATCCTTATTTAATTTTATTCATATCCTTTTCTTATTTTATTCTTATCCTTCAGAATTTCCCTAAAGGAGTAATCCCAAGGGATAAATAAAGTCTTATTTTATTTTAATCCTATATCTCATTTTACACCGTTTATATGGGAGGGGTGTAATTTTAATGTGTGGGTTGTTGTTTTACTTATTTTATTCTGTCTTAATATAATATATTTTATTTTGCTCTATTGTACTTACATTCTTATTTTTTTCTCTTCTGTAAAAGGTTGCACTGCAAGAAAGGAATTTCCCGCAAGGGATTAATAAAGTAATTCTGATTCTAAATTTTATTGTGGTTCTGTTGATTGTTTATGTGGAGTTAATGATAATTGTTTTATTATTGTGTATATTTGATAATATAAGTGGTTATTTAAAGAGAAAATCATACTAACTGTAAAAATTAATACAACAAAATAAAAATATTGACAATATAAAATGCTCTTTTTTTAGATTTTCCAGATTTAAAAGATGTTTCAGCATCTATTTTGTGCATGCAAATGAGTTTCCTGCTTCTTTGTAGATCTTATAGTACATTTTTATGAGCATTCAGCACAGACAATATTTAAAATTTATTATATATATCTAAATAGTTCTAAATCATACACTGCACACAAACTGACCACTTATAGGTGCTAGTGCCATGTGGTAGATTAAACAGTAGACATATATTGTTTTACAAGAAGTGTCGTGTGCAAATGGCACTTTATTATAATTTAATTGTTATGTTTTAAAATGAATCTTCTTTCACAATCATAGCTAGATGCTTGAAATGAAGCAAAAATATCCTCAGGCTCTGAGATGTCCTTTAGCTCCTCACATTTAATTGCTGCAGTCTCCAGATCTGAGAGTGTGCTGATTGAACCTGTCTACTTTTAAGCTTCATCACGTTCTTGAATTTATCAAAGGAAAAAAAAGTCACACTCACATTTTCATTGTTGGACTTAAGTTGAGAAACGGATGATATTATGAAAGTTATATAGAAAAAAATTGTATTTGTGTAACTGATTAACAGTTGATGTTGGATTTTATTTTATTCCCTGCAGAAATGCTGAGAATGTGTGAACAGTGCGCAAATGTGCAAGTGTGCAGCTTAAATGGAATATTGATAAAGGGGCTAAACCCATGGCATAGGTGTCCCTCATCTTCATTTATAAAAGGTGGCAACCTCAGATAGACAATGAAAGTTATGATCTCAACATTTCAGTCATTAACATAAAAAAGGATGAGTGTGTGCATTAGAATATGTGTCTAGGTTTAATTCAGCAGGCATTAAGAGCCTGTAGCATTCATGGTAAAATATCTTAATGAAGTTAAATCAGGAAAGGGGCAGTTATGAGCTATTTTTCTGTTTAACCTTTACCAACAGTTACATAGCATTTTACAGCTTTATTCAGCAAAGGAAATTAACAATATGTCAGATCCTAAACCTTTTTTCATTACTTAAATTGAAAAAGATCAGACACCTGGCACCATATATTGACATCATTTGTTTATATATATTTTTTTTTCAGCATGTGTGTCCAGGACTCTTATTTGTAAAGCTTGTTTTACATGAAATAGGGCCTGAAAGATGTGTACATCAGCTTTGACAAAAGGGTTTTCCTCTATAAAAATCAAAATTGGCCTTAAATGTGCGATTCCTCATGCCAGCTCTAACCCATTCAGATAGTGTACTCACATTTTAGCGAAGCAGATGGTGACTGGGAGACTTTCATTTGTATGTATAATTTTAAAAGCTGAGGTTGAGCTTTAAGCAAAGTGGTTGGTTCTGCTGGAGGTTTCTTTCTGTTAAAAGGGAGTTTTTCCTCTCCACTGTCGCTACAAGCATGCTTAGTGTGAGGGATTGTATTTGAGTCAATGAGTCAATGCAATCAACTGGTTTTCCTTAGATAGAAAACTTTGTATCAATTTGACTGTATGATCTGTTTGAACTGTAAAGTGCCTTGAGATGACATGTGTTGTGAATTTGGCGCTATATAAATAAACTGAATTGAATTGTAGAGCGGATGTAGATTTGACCAATCAGAGGCCTCCTGTCTGCGGCACTGTCTGCGATCACCTACGTGAGAACCAGAGGTGCACCCAGAGGTGCACCCGGTTTTCTGCAGAAGGGATGGGGCACATCTGCACTACCTACGACACCAATGCTGACGACCTGGTTTCTAAGCATAAACCAGCCTTATACTGGTGCTGATTGGATGCTGCTATAGACCTACTGGCTCAGATATGCAATACCAGAACAATGTTTCTGTGTTAATTGACAGAGTTTCGGATGTGAATTTTGATATTTTTTTACTTGGGGATATGAACATAGTCTGATTTGCAAATCAATGTCCAATGAAACAAAAGATGGTATCTACTGATTTTTGGAAAATCATTTTGGAAAATCATTATGCCCACTTCAGTGATGGTGCATTGGGTCATTTGAGAGATATTATGTATTGGAAGTTGGTAGCTATCATGAAATAAACCCCCCACCCCACCCAAAAAACTAAATCGAACATGATTTTTGCCCCCTTTTCCTCGCTTCTATCATTAAAAATAAAATAATATCTTAGGAAAGCACTTTGGCATAACAGCAGCTGTGCAGCAAATTGAGGCTCAAAGTCTGTATCTATTTGTGGTTAAGCTTGAGGAGAAGGAGAAAGGTAAAATGATAACATGCATCGGAGAGCACCACAAAGAAAGGTGTAGGCCAGTTCATGGTACAAGGGCTGCATGCAGGTCAAGATAGCCCATTTCCAAGAATGCTATAGTGGCTGGACAGGCACTGGACATGTCCTGAACTCAGTGTCAGACGTGGCTGCCGAATACTTGGATGAAGTGAAGCAGCTGACAGATCTCACGCTGCCCCATCTGAAGACTGTCCTGGCCAGGCAGAAGATGGATGAGGAGACCTTCCCAATGGACCCTGTCAGTGAACAGGCTAGTAACATTGATGGCACCCCTGTGCACAACATTGGGATGGAGAGACAATGTGGCAAGGTGGACTACAAACTGAAGAAGTTGGGCACACTGAACGCAGTCAATAGGTCAATAATTTTACAGAAGTGCCAGGAGCTTCAGAGGTTTCAAGGCAGCAGCACAAGCAAAAAGGGAGGTTGAACTCAACTGGAGTAAATTCATGAAGGCAAAATTTGAGAGTAGGGCAGATGAGAAACAAGAGATGGCTCAAAGAAAGGAGAGTAAGAGACTAGACATGCTGGACACACTGAAATCTTTTGATGGCCCCTTCACGATAGTGGGGAAGTTGAAAAGTTCCTTGTGGATGAAAGTCTGCACAAGAATGCAAAGCTGCAGAGAATGAAGCTTGAGGTTCAGTTTGCCAGAGAAAGCACCAAGCTTCTGCCTAAAGTCAATCCTATCTTCACAATCCAGGTGACACTTCCCAGAAATGGCGAAAGTGCAATTCTCCAAGTCATAATGGATACTTAGAATTTTATGGTGGTGGTAAGTATTCATGAAAACAGGTAGCCTAACATTAGTGAATGGGTGAATTCTGGAAATAACCTAAAAATCTTACACAGTGCACCTTTAAGCAAGGGGTTTCTTTCGTGCTTTCAATTTTGCAAAATCATCCACCACATCATTGAAGTCCAACTCTCTTGTCAGCTCACTCTCAATTGCCATTAGAGATAACGCATTTAATCTTTTCTGAGTCATTCTTGTGCGCAGCTCATTTTTTACTCTTGACAAAAGAGAGAATGAGCGTTCTCCCTCACAGTTACTGACCGGTAGAGTGAGAAAAATCTGTAGCGCAATGTATGTATTAGGAAACGTAGGCTGTAGTCCAAAATGTATTATTGTTTTGAGCAGTCCTGAAGGGGTCCTCTCCTCATCAGTGTTGTTGAGCTGTATAAAAGATTTGAACTGTATAAGCTCCTGTCCAAGACTTTCATTGAGGTCAGATGGGTATGATTCAGTGAG